GAGTCAGCCAAGCTGTTAGCTCTTTGCTGGATCCACGTTTTGTGACTTTCTTGTAACAAGCACCTTCAGCTGTAGACAATAACAAGTGATCATGTTTATCTCCATGTGGGATGTAGCATAAAATCTGCCAATTTCTGCAAATCAGGCTGTTCTGAAAGGCACAGAAGCAAGCAAACCTGCCCTTCTTTTCTTGGTCACTTGGCAATCCTGAGAGAGAAGAAAGGACTAGGGATGAGTCTTGTTTTGCTGACAAGGCCATTCCTCAAATGTCCAGTTCCACAAGTAATTGCATTTTATAAAATGAATTCTAGTAGCTGTAGTAAAGACTGGAGTCTAGCTTCCCTTCCTTGCCATTCTTGACCTTGAAGGTGTATTTAAGTTGATAGGCAAAGGCCAGTTATTCAGCTCAACTGCTGTAAGAATGCATGTGAACAGTGTACTTCCTGGGCCATTTGGGTGGCTTCACCCTATTAAGCCCACTGAATATTTAACCAGACATGTAAATAACAAAGCAGCTGTGCCATCCAAACTCTTGAAAAGCTTTGATCACAATTTGTGGTGATAAAGCCAATGAATTCCTTTCTGTCATCTGAGTTGACACAAACCTCTCTCCATCTCCAGCCATAAACAGTGTATCAGTCAGCCACTGGGGCTAAAATATTTGTCAGCTCTCCCAAACCAAATAGGATGGAGGCCAGATTCTCTCCCTCAGAAAGCATGATCAAACACTGCCCCTTTAAGCATTATATATGCCAGAGCAGCACAATTTAGGACTGCTGCCATGGTGTTGTTATTTATCAGACCTGGGGTGGCAGGAAAACCAAAACTTTCCAAACACAGAGTAGGCCTATGTGCCTAGCCAGGGGAATCAAGACCAGTGCCAAGGGTCAGTGTGACCATGCATCTGCAAACGGTCTCATCCTGGTGTGGGCCCTTGCCCAAACCCCCAGGAGTTGCTTCTCCTCTTCACCATGGCAACCAGCTTGTTCATCTGCCTCTGGCCCACAGTGGTGAGAAGGCAAAGCCAGGGCCTCTTTGCTCATCAGTGCAGCTCATGCCCCATTGAAAGTGTCTTGTCAAATGGTCCACAAAAAACCTGGAACTGGCACTGAAAGACCATGTTCTGCAGAATATAGACACACATATGGAAATCATGGCAAAAATCTCTTGCAGATATTCTTGGCATCAATCCAGTTGAATTGACACACTCCTCCTTCCTTAGCCCTTTCCATTAGCACCATCCCTTCTTCTCCTTGGCTCCTTCCTTGCTTTAAAGAGCTGAAGTAATGTTGTATGAGATTTCAGTAGTAGGTGACATATAACTGGAAGTATAAATAAATCTCAGTATGAGCATCTACAGAGTGCTTTTCAACATGCCCACTCTGCAATTGCAACCTTTCTACACACTGGAATTATTGCAAAGATGGCAGGGCATCCCATAGACTTGAGCTCCCCTGTCCCTGATTCAACCTCCTTTTAGAAAGTAAGCATTGTCCCCACCTCCTTTGAGGTCATTCTGAGAAGCTAGTTGCATCATCATCATCTTCAAGCTTATTGCTCAGGGAGACTATTCTAGTGCTGTTGCTAAACTGTTCAACAGCACCCCAAACTTGGCCCTAGCTGTCTACTTTCACTGCTATCTTCATTGGGCTGACATCCTATGCATGCTTAGACAGCAGGAAAAGTCCTATAATTCCCAGCATGTCACATGCTGAAGTTGTAGGACTTTGCTTTTGGTCTAAATCTGAATGCCCTTCAAAGTTGCCCCCTGGTGACCTGCAAATGCCATTTCACAAAACACAGCGTGGGTGCATCTTTTAAAGGAGGATTAGGCAAATTCATGGTGCTATTCATATGCTATCAATAACTGCTGGTAATAGTGGTAATATATTAGTATTGTACATCTTACCTCCTATATCTGAAGCAGTGTCTCTCTGAACATCAGTTGCTGGGGAACATGACGTGCTCTGCAAATGGACTTCCCACTGGCTGGGCACTGTGAGCACTGAACGCTGGACTAGAGAGGTCTTTGGTTTGATTAATTCACAGGCTCAGTACAACAATACCTGGATTAGGACTAAGCAACGTTGACAAAACAGTGTTTAAGCTTTTGAGCAGCACAGAGTTTTTCCTGAGGTCAGGCTGAGCTCTTGGTGGCTCTGTATGGTTTTGGATGGTTAAATGTAAGAAACTCCTGCGGACATAATTGGATTAGCACTGAGCTGTGTGTGAGCAAAGCACAACAACCCAACTTCTAGTTTTGTGCCCTTGAAAAGCAAATCTGGTTCTTTCTGGATTTCTCTTGAAAAATTATCATAAGGATGACAATTCACAGAAAAAAAACAACCAAGGACAGTCATTTGCCTGACAGTGACCCCTGTGCCTTTAACCACAGCACAGTAGACCAACATTCAGCAGGGAAATCTTTTAATATTAAAAAGGTATCTATGTTGAATTTCTGCTGGACACAGTGGAGGCTTCTCTCTGAGGAGTATAGGAGTGTGCTATCAGTGAATGAATGCATGTTTGGTTAATTGTTTGAAAGACTGAATTTGGACTCAGGCAGTTTGGATGCTTAGTGAATTAAAAACTGCACGATGGTGACGTTTGGTGCAATATTGTAAACGATCGGCCCCTTCTACTGACAAGATTGTAACACCTACTCATTCTGTAAATAGGTTTTTTTCCCTAGAAACAAAAACAAAGTTTTTCCCATACCGGGAGTCGAACCCGGGCCGCCTGGGTGAAAACCAGGAATCCTAACCGCTAGACCATATGGGAAGACGACGTGAGCATGTTCTTGTTTGCTTGGGTCAAGAGTAAATGGAAGAAACACTTCTCATGCCTGCCGCCTGCTGGAGGAAAGGGAACCTACAACATTGAAAATGGGCTTCCCGCTTCTCTTGGAACCAGCATCCTTCGAACTTTGGAGTCAGAACTTTCCAAGAGCGCTTACTCCGAAGTAAGTAATTTCCATTCTTAATGGAGGCTGATTCTTTTAAGTAAGACTGCTTAGGAGGAGGTTACTCTAAAGAGTGTGTCTGAATTAAGCCCGCTATCACCCAATGCAGACTTATTTGGTGGTAAGCCCTATGGAGTCCAATGGAAAGAGTACATGGAATTACAGCCGCTGGAACGGTCGTTCTGACTGTGACCCTCTGATACATAGTTAAGCGCCGGGGAGGTTGGGGTTAATCGCGCTCACCTGCAGCTGTGCATGGCTGAACTGCTTAAAAGGAGGTCTGGGGCACGTTGTAAGTTTCAAACTCTCCTCTGAAGTTGCTTTTGTGTAGGAGGAAAGCATCTAAGTTAGTTCTAGAGAGATTTTATCTGGCAAGTCCTTGTCCTGTTAATATCCCACCAAAATGGGATGGTGTCTTTCTGTAAGGTGAGTTTGAAGGCTGTTTAGTGAGTGTTTTTGCTGGGTACAAGGGGTAAGGTCCAGACTATCTGTAAACTCCTTGAAATTAATAGGACTTACTTGTGATTATTTTATTGTACTTGCATTATAGTTTTTCTTCCTGGTGAGGAACCCAGGCTGACTCACATAATTCTCCTCCTCATCATCATCTTTTTTTTTTTTCCACATTATCCCTCACATTATCCCTGTGAGGTAGATTAGGCTGTGAATTAGTGTCTGACCCAAAGTTGTCCAGTGAGCTTAGCAGCCAAACTAGAACTGGGACCTGGATCTCCTGAGTCCCTGTCCAATTGCTCATTAATTTTAACAGGTCTACTTAAAATCTAGCTAAGCTTGGATCCACCCCAAGGATGTTCTTTTGTACTTGGCTTTCTAAGGGTAGCCTTTCCTTACCTGTATTTCCAATTGAATGTGAGTATATCTGCTGCATAACTAGTATTAGGCTTGCCTGAGACTCCTTGACCATGTGAGCTTTTGTGAAGGCTGAACTGGTGATGAAAGTGGAATTTTGCAACTAAAGCACCCATAAAGTACTGTAGAGTAAGCTGGTGTAGTTAAGTAACTTTAGACTTGGTGATCGTATAGCACCCCTTTCTTTTTAGTTGATAATGTGTGCTACTGCATTTGTGGGCCCTCCTGGTTATTCTCTTGATTAGGGTCCTGACATGTGCCCTGGAGTCCTACCCTAATGGTACTATTGCCTGAAAGACAAGCACTGCACTTTAGAAGGAAAGGAATTAATAGCTGAACATTCTGGTATGTAATAATGGGCTAGATAGTTTACCTGGAATAGAGCTAGTGTGGGGTAATGTCATGTCTGACCAGACTGCTTGTATGAAATGTCAGAATTGCTCCATTACTGTTTTTAGGCTGTTTCTTGTTGTCCTTCTGGCCCCTGGAGTGTGGCTTCAGTTTGTGCCTGCAACAGGTAACCCAATAAAATATGTTCTGTTCTAACCAATGTGTCTTTAAAGTTCTTATAAGCTGCATTTGAGTTGTTGGTTATGGAAGACAGCATCTTTTTGAAGAAGAATTTATTCACTCCAGAACTGCTTTGTCATGTAAACCAGGGTGTGAAACTTGAAACCTGTGCACAAAATCAGGCTGTCCAGATGGCTGACCACCTGTCTTCTGGGGCTCTTCCTCTGACTGCTGTTTGCTGTTTCTTGGCTTTTGTGCTCTTCACCTCCCACAAGCACATCTGGTGCCCCATCATTCTGAAAAGCCAAATACCCTCTTCTAAGGCTTAACTATCTGCAGTAAAAGCTTTGCATTTAAACAGGCTGGTATTTTGGGGCCCGGTCCTTTTGCCTCTGGCCCTTGCCCATCACTGAAATGTAACCCCTGAGAGCTTTTCCAAGACTGAATTCAGCCCTTGAGTTGAAAGAGGTTGGACACCCCATGATATGCACAGTAGACCCATGGAATGAGAGCACAGTAGACCCATCAAACATCCTCAAGAGTTGCCTGGGCTGGCGGAGGGACCATTTGCTGTTCCCTGGAGAATCTAGTTGCTTTGAGACTGCCAGAGATCCAGGAGCCTACCTTGACAACAGCCTCTTTCCTCCTTGTCCCCCAGATCGGGTAGAAGTGGAATGTATGGGCAGCCTTGCCAGACTCAAATTGAATACCAGCTATTTCCAGAAGAAGTATATCAGCTTTGCTGCACTTGGTGAGTCTTGATTTTGTTCCTATTCTGTGGTGAATATACAGGTTCAGATCCTAGCCTTTGTCTAATATACTTTCTCCAACCTGATGCAGAGGAAGGAACCGACAGCCACTCAAATGCCTTAATCCTCTCCAGAGTCTTGACAACAGCCAAGAGTTTGCTTCCCCTTGCCTGCCTAAGGGTTGCATAACTGTTCTCACTGGTACATGATGCCTCTTGCTATCATTGTGAGCCTACTTGGTGAAATAGCAAGCCCCTGGTGCAAAAGGCCCTTGGCCTCACGTGCCGGCTGGGTCCAGACTTCAGTTAGCAGCCAGTATTCATATGGACATCTCTGTGGCAAGGTGGATTCTGGGATGTGCTGTCACTTTGCATCTTCCCAGCTAAGGGTTAGAAACGGAATACCTCATTCCTGGCCTATAAGGCAGCATTATGTAGCAAAATAAGTAGGACAGCCAGTGTGGTCTAGTGGTTTGAGTGGGAAACTGAGACTTGAGAAATCTGGGTTCTAGACTCTGCCATGAAACTCACTGGGCGACCTTGGGTCAAACTGCCCCATAGGACTCTTGTGAGGATAGTATAGAGAAGATAATTGTGCAAACCACCCTGAGTTCCTTGGGGAAAGGAAAAGTGGGATATATCTGAAATAAACTGGTTCTTTTTTGAGGTGTGGTGGAACTTGGAAGAAATGCACATAGTGCAGGATCTGCACAAAAATGCAGAAATGGGAGCCCAAAACTCCATTACTGCAATGAGGTAGAGAATACATACATCAGGAAAATGTGCACAAGCAACAGATCTTTAAAATCACAAACTCATGCAAGAACAAAATGTGACAGTTCTGGTGAGCACAATCCCATTGTGATTGCTGTTAAGGGTACTTCTGTTCCCAAAGCTCACAGTCTTCGAACTGGCCTTGAAAAACAAGCAGGGCAGGAAACTTGCCTTTACCTTTTCAAGTAGAATTCAAGCTTCTCAGTGCTCTGAATCCTGGCCTCCCTGATTAGGGGGAGAACGGTGAAACAATTACCCTTCTTTTGAATTGTTCCAATACTTGTTCTTCCAGACACGTTTGGCAGGTCTTGGCTGATAGATGAGACCCAAGCGACAAAATGTGGATACACCATCTTCCAAGATGTCTGGGGAAACATCGAAATCCGTGCCTCCCTGATTGGCTGCTATGCTAAAATGGTGGTATGGAAACAGGAGTATGCTGTAGGGCAGGGCATCAAGTTTCTGGATTCTGTATTGTAGACAGTGGCTGGGTTCAAACAACATAACAAGTCATGATGGTTTGTTACCATTGTGGGTCTGCCGTGTTGCCTGAGCCAAGTTATGGCATTTCATCATGGTAAGTTTGGTCTTTAGACAGCACAACAATAAAGGATGGTTTCTCTGTAACTCCATGGTTTGTCATGATGTCTGAACCCAGGCTCATGGTTTCCATGGTCCTGATAACCAATTGCCACAGAGACCTGTAGAAAGAGTGGCAACTGCAGGAGTTGCGCCAGCCATGCAGCCTCTGTGTGTGGACCAATGAGGAAGAGGTGGACAAGACAGTGGAGTGATGTGTCTTAAGGTAGAATTTCAGGAGCAGTGTGTGATGGGATACATGCCAAGAGTGGGAGGACTGAGCAGTGTGGATGGAAAACATGATAGAGTCAAAACCACTTGATCATCTGTCAGATCATAGGAACCCCCTCCCACCCACACACACCCTGTGAATATATGTGTGTTGCCTGCCATGTTATGTGAAGGCAGTCAGTGTTAATGGAGAGTGAACTGATGGTCTTGTGCAAACTGTATTGCAGAGGTGCAGGTCCTCAAGCCTGGAGGGGTGGGGTGTAAATTCAGCCCTTCGGAGGTCCCAGTTATGTCTTCTGGGATTCGCTTTTTGGTCATACCCAATTCCTTTCCCTGCAGCCACCAATTGGTGGATAGCTTCTTAGCTTCTGCATGTCCCCCCACACCTCCCTCCTAAGGAATAGCTTCTGGTGGTAAGACCTTTAAGCTAAAATAGGCTGGTGTTCTGGTCATACCCCTTTTGCTTTTGGCCCCACTTATCACAGGAATACAGCCCTGGGAGCTTCTCTGAAACTGAGTTTGGCCTTTGGGCTGGAAGTGGCTCCCTGCTTCTGCTGTAGAGCCTGTGGCCTGCATTTCTGGGTTATGCAGAAAGCTGACTTAACACTAAAATAAGACAAATTATCCATTTAGGACTGTTGCTGAGCTCTGCTTAGCTGTGGCTTCCCAAAGACTTGGACAGCAGCCCATTTTAATCTTGCAATCTAGGCTTTTTGTTGGTTTTTGCTATTGAAGATTAACTGTAGTACCTTCTGCAAACTAAGCACGTGCTCTACTGATGAGAGGCTTAAGGAAAAGGAAGAACTAGGAATCTGCAGAAAATATCCCTGGTATAGGAACTTTATCTTGGAGCTCCCATGAGGACTAGAAATGTATATTGTTTTGTCTCAAAAAGCAACACCTCAAGGATAAAAACAAGGTACCATTTGTGGGAGGAGATGCAGCCGTTTCTGGCCATGTCATTGTTCACCCATGTCACCCAGCATTCTGGTTATTTTATGGAGTGGTACAAAAGTAGACACATCCTCTAGAGGCAGTGTTCTGTTTCTTAATGTTCACAATTTGATAATATCTATGAATAAATTGTGTGCTTCTCCAAACCTGACTTAAAACTTGTTTGGGCAATGTCTTCATGAAATCAAGCGGTGTGTCTAAGCCACAACATCTGGAAATGGATGCTACATTGGGAATATAACCCAAAACTAAGGTATAACTTTACTTACAATGTGTTTTCTGTTGGAAAGCTATGGGTCTGCAGCCAAGGAAATGACTAATTTAAATCAATAGTGAAATGCTGCCTTCTCTGCCCTTTGCAACATTCTAGTGACAGTAAGAAGCAGCCCTTCCAGCCAACTCTGAAATGCATAACAGCCTTGTTGGGGTCCAGAGTTCAGACTCAGTAAGGCTACCATCTTGTGCTGTGTCTGTAAAACATCCCTACCCACTTTGCTTTTGCTCTCTGGCCCTTCTTTTCCTTTAGGTTCCTTCACCTAGCTGAGCTTCCTTCCAGTTTCTGAATGTCATTTGTTTGTTCCTTCAGCCACCTTGCAACAATATCTGAGTCCTTAATCCTGCCGCACAGCACTGTTCCTTTCCATAAGGCTTCTGTGTGAAGCTGTCATCCCAGTCAACTGGTAACATTTCCTTCCTGCTCAGATGCCAGGCTAGAAACATTCTAGGAGCCTAGCCTGTTCCCTTAGCAAGCGGAAGGTCCCTTCACCCAGGACCTGTGTCAGCACTGGTGGCTTCACTACTGCAGTGGCCGTGATTAATTAGTGACTCCCTTCTCCCCACACCCTGCCTTCAGGATGATCAGCACTTCAACTTGAACATGCAGATCCAGGTCGCGACAGATGCAGAGATGCGTGATGCTGTTGTGCTCAATGTGCCTGTGATGTGTCCATATGGCCCGTGGCAGCCCAGGGAAGTTGTTTGTGAAGCAAATTACATGGAGGTAAGTTTTAGGCTTGAGAGAGACCAAACAGTAGCCTGAAATGCTTAAGGGGCTTTGCTGTTGCATTCCCAGAAGCCTAGCCTGGTTGAGAGAAGTCTTTAAGTCAATTCTGAAACTGCTTTTACTCTCTGGCTCTACTTCTACATTCTGGCCAGCGCAGGTTCCTGGATTTTCCTGGGGACTTGTTTTTTCAAAACTATAAACTAGCTAAAATTGGAGTTGGGGTACCTTTGACCCTGGGTTCAAATATTGCCCTCCAGTTAATTTATGTAACTTTAGCCTAATTTCAAAAGCCCTCTGCATGTGATCAGTTCAGTTCTTAGCAACTATGATCTTGTCTCTTTCACTTTTAAAAATGACAGCTACTGTGGTCAGCCTCTCACCACCTGCAGCTGTTCTCACAGCCTTTCCTCTTGGGAGACTGCAGCTTACAGATTTCCCTGAGGGCAGCCAGCAACTTTGCCAGCTTTTATGCCAGCCCTGGTGACTCCAGCAGTGCTTCCAGTGCCCACAGTGCAGCAGTCAGCAGCTGGGGCCAAAGCTAACCATAAAAGGAGGGTTCTGCTGAATTAGATTTGAAGGTCTGGCTAGCCCAGCATTGTGTCACCTCAGAGGCCATGGGAAGCTCACACAAGAAGTCCATGAAGGCTCCCTCCAGCTCATCTTCCCCATCAACCAGTGGTGATAAACCTGACATGTACTATCCTAGCTCAGGATGGAAACTGCAGCCTAAAGCAGGGGAAAGCCAGTGCTTCAGTGGAACCCCTGTTCCTTGATCAGGAGAAGCAAGGACACTTCAGCTATCGTGCTGTTCAGCTTGAGGCCGACGGAGCTGAACATAGCTCCCTTGCCACAAGGTACTTGCTTATACCCTCCCCTTCCTATTTCTGCAGTTTCAGGTAAGCAGCAAACACAAGAGACTTATTGAGACCCTGCTGAGATGCCTCTGTGGCCAGTGGGCTGCTCTGGTCCTCCCAGCTGGACTTCCTGATTGGATGATGCTCAGGGGAATCCTCCTGCATCTGTCCATTGCTAAGTCATGATAGCAAATGATTGGCTAGGAAGGATTTTGGAGTGGAGCCTAGAGTGGATACAAGAGTAGAGCCAGGGGGGCTGCACTTGGGCCCTTTTTGGTCAGGTTTGAGGCTGTCTATATTCCTAGAAGCTGAGTGCCTCAAAGGCTGAGAAGGTGAGGAAGCAACCCTGGTCTAGGAATATCCTTCCAATCTCCCGAAAAAGCAAACAAAATCAGTGTCAACTCTCTCTAAAATAACAAGTGGCAGGGATTAATGTCCAGTTGATGGCTGTGAAGAATCTCCCAGGTCTACTGCACTTGCTTTTCCTCAAGGTCTCTGTAAGAAGGAATGTGCCCCACATCTCAAATGACATTCTGCAGGATCAACCGGAAGACTGGGCATCCGCCTTTCCGGAGGTAACTCTCTCTTGCCTCTGCTTGATGGAAAATCTCGTGGGTGGGCTGCCAACCATGGGGGAGAAGAAGTTCTTCTGAAATACCTCCTCTTGTGCCTCTCTCTGCTTCTCATACAGGCCAAGGCAGGGGCCCCCTCCATTTGGCAAATAGTCTTCCACATGGACACCAGGAAGAAGGCCATGCCGGTTGAAGAGGCTCATGCTGTTGGTTATGGAGTGAACACAACAGACACCAGAATCGTGTTGAGGGCATCCTACAATGCAACCGAGGCTCAGAAGTTGCTGGTAAAGCTCTAGTGGAGAACGAGGGTGAAAGTGGGTGGCAAGCAGATCATTACAAAAGAGAACCATTTTTCACACCTCAGTGTTGTCATCTAGCTATCTCAGTGTATGGATAAACGTGCAACTTTGTTTTGGGATAACGCACATTTTTAATATATTGTGTCTTTCCTTCAAGGAATTCAAAGGGGCTTGCATGGTTCCCTACCCCATTTTTGCTTCCCAATAACACTGTGAGGTAGGGTAAGCTGAGAAATAGTTAAACAATTAGCTAGTGAGTTTCCTGGCAGAATACAGATTTGAAAAAGGGTTTCTCTGGCCCTACTTCACACTGCAACCCAGCCTTCCCCAACTTGGTGTCCTCTAAGTGTGTTGTACTACAGTTCCCACTACTCCTCTAGCTGAGGATGATGGAGGTTGTACTGCGTCATGCCTGGAGTTCACTGGGCTGGAGAAGGTTGCTCAAGCTGTTACACCACATTGGCTAGCTCTTATTTCACAGCGGGCACCACTTGGGAGGTCTTCCCATTCAGGGAGAGAAACAATCCCTAAGATGCCACCCTGGCAACCAGTTTTTACGAAGCTGTATAGTCACTTTTAAAAAGGAAAAATGAGGGTGATCCAGCTTACTTGAAAACACCTAGTCAAATTTTGTAGTCCTGTGAACTAAATTCTTATCCGCAATGGCTCCATCTCTCAGCCATGGTCTACAGCAAGTACAAAATTGGTCTGGCTGATCAGGGGCAATGGGAACCAGTAAATTGTAGGGTTCTGTGATGAACTGAGTGACATTTTTCACCCCTTTGGGGGCATCACTAGAGGGACAGGCCTGGTGGGACCCTGCACGTTGACATTTGTCACTGGCTAGGAAGCTTGCTGGCTTCTGTAAAGCCAAGGGCTCTTCGGAGCTGACCCCCTGCAGTCCTACAGCCTGCATCCCTGTGAAGAGCAGTGGCTTATAGACGCCTCCCAGAGTTACTGAACTTGCAAGAAACTGAGCATGCAGTTCAGCTGTCCAGACTTTCTGGTGCTGTATACTTAACAGGAACTCAATTCCACTTTCCCCCCAAACTCTTGGGATACTTGCTCTTTTAAAAACTTGATTCCACAAAATTGTGACTTGAAGAAGCAGTGTGATACTGCATCTTTTACTCCAACGTTGCACAGATTCCTGGACAACCTGGCAAAATGTTTCATTCAGGATTGGTGGTGTTGCTGTTGCTTTTCCAGTACGAGCAGTTAGGAACATCTGCTAACTTTTTCAGATTGATGGGGTTCTTTTCTCTGCGGTGAGATCCAGCACTTACTACAAGCAGCGCTGGATGCTTCTGATGGTGGACACAGCTGTGGCCTGCCCCATAGGTGAGTAAATAGCTAGTAAACAGGAGTAGACTGTTCCTTCCAACCTAGGAGTGGGGAACCAGATGGCCACACTCTCTCCTGCAACCACTGGTTGTTTCTGGCCTTTGTGAAGGTCCCACCCCAATTCTAAAAGTTTGCATTGCTTCTTTTAAGGCTTGGTTACTAGCCATGAGAGCTGATTATTTTTAATCTTTTGGTTGGGCCCCATCAACCTTCATGTCCTCTCACTAGTGGTATGCAGACCTTGAAAGTTTTTTTTTGAAAACAAGATCTGATCTCTGGGTCTCCCAAGCTTGTCAGGCTGTGGGTAGAATGAGATTTTTGGTAAGCCTTGGATTCCCTCCTTGTAGCTGCAAGGCTTGAGCGATTATCCATTTTGCTCCTTCCCTCATGACAGATGGTGTGACCTACACAAACAACATCATCACCTGGACTATCCCAAAAGGCATCTCTCCCCTCCTGGCTGAAGCTGGCACCATCAAAGAGTTGCACGTGGAGTTGGGGATCAACCTGTACAAGTTGTCAGCACAGGATATAAGCCGTCAGGGGTACTCCCTGGCCAGTGACAAGGAGGCGATTGTAGTCAAGATTCCCTTGGGTGCACCTGGCGGTAGCTACAAGGTAGGTTCATGGGTGCCTTCGATAGCTAAGGGTCTTGCACAGAGCTAGTCAATGTGCCCTCCCCCCGCCCCCACCTTTCTGGAACCCGCCAAAACTGCCTTAGGCATCTCATTTTATTTTTTTCCTAATTCAACTTATTTCCTTAGTTGCAGCTAGGATTGTTGTGAAACAGGTTTCTGTTGGTAGTGAAAAAGGTGAGTTCAATGGAGTTGTTTAGTGTGTTGGGACATAGGCTCTACCTCTGCCATGTACTTCGTCTTCTGGGCAGGTTACCTGCTTTTTGCCATGCCTTCCATGGCAGCAACTTTAGGGTGGTGCCTAAGACTGCATTTCAGTCACCTACTCCTGGCCAAGCATAATGTGCCTGAGAGAGATGCCAACAGAGGTTCAGAGAGAAGCCAATAGAGGTTCAGAAGTGGAAGTACCATAAGGGTGACATCAGTACACCAAAGATCAGGATGGGTCAATCTGACCTGTAAGTCTGACCCACAGGGCCTTGGGTGACCCCTGGAGGCTTGGGAGATGAATGAGAGAAAAACCTGGGTTGTTACATGGTAGGCATGTTGTGAGCAGAGCTGGCTAGAGCCAGGGGTCAGACTAGATGGCCCGAGAGGTCCCTTCTAACTCGCTCTGTTTTCTATGTTTTTCGATGTTACCTTGGATCTGTGACTGGGAAGAACAGTCTCCCGCATGCTGCTCCCCCTCCCAGTTGGGAGTGGAGATGACACACTTAAGTACTACGGTGACCCTGGGTCCTGCTCAGCAGGGGAAATACACTGGCTAGGTGGTGTTCTGCCTGTAGACTTGGGAGATGGAGTGATCATTCCTGCCTCTCTGCACAGAGAAATGCTTTCTGTTGGGGTGAGGCTTCTGCAGAGAGGGCCCCCAACTCTCAGTGTTGTTTTGTACACTGAGGGCAGTGCCGAAATAAAATTCCATCTCCCAGGGGATAAAATCAGTTCCTGACCCCTGTTATGCAGAATGCCTAGGTGGTGCCGATTCCCGAAACAGCAGCATCAAAGAAGAATCGAATCTGGACTAAGCATCCAGAAGGGTGCAGCCATGCTAGAATGCAGATCCCCAGACCTTACTAGAGCCCTTCAGCCCATTCATCAAAGTTGAAAGAGCAACTGGGTGAGAGGGCAGAGACCTGGAGAGTTTTCCATTCTGTTTGTCACAATGTGAGATGTTGGCACTGTGTCTCTTGAATGATGGTTGCTTGTCCGAATCCTTTTCCTCCAGAGTTTTGTGGTCTCTGGGAAATTGGCTATTGCCTACCAAATCAACCCGTTTGTAGAACACCTATGGGAGGATGACAAGAGGAGTGTTACGAAGCACACCATCCTGAAGGAGATCAACACACCCCTGCAGCTAGTGCCAGTGATGATCACATACTGTGAGTGTTCACAGTGAAAGAAAAATGCAGCTCAGATTGTAGAAACCTTGGCTTTGGAGGGTGGAGAGTGGGCCCCTGCCCTGACAATTGTGTGGGTGTGGATGTCAGGGAGAAGCCTGATGAGATCAAACCTGGCAAAGCACCTTCCGTTATAATATGGAGCAATGCTTCCCACACCCTCGCAAGTGGAATAGTGACCTTGAGTGCCACAGCTCTCTTGCTCCAAGCTGTAAAGGGAATTTGGGGACCAAGCAGGGCCACTGCTAGGCCTTGGCCCATAGGCTGCAATTCTGTGTTGACTTCCTAGAGCCCCAGGGGTCTATTGGTGCCAAAGGAAGGTGTGTTACAGTTGAATTGCTGTGCAGGGGGCGATTTCCAGAGGAAATGCAATTGGGAAGGCTTAATGCTCCTGCTACTCCATGGCAATTAAGCTCTGAAAAAAGCCCTTTTTGTGGATGCTGGTAAAAATGTCCCCCCCACCCTCGAAGCACCATAGCATGGAGTGGGGGCAATTTTCCTCCAGCAGTGGAGCTACAAAAAATGGGGTAATGGACAGAGAGATGATTAGGGGAGAAAGGAAAGGGCAAAAATAGGTGGACAATAATCTGGGCAGTTTTCCAAGTGTGTGTGAGGACCGGTATGGCTTCTCTGGATCCGATTATTTCTCAAGTTGCCTGTGTAGATACAGAGTAGCACATCTCATTCAGATTTGTGTCCTAAAGGTCTGGATCCTGAAGTACTTAGAAATGCCCCACAACTAAGGGTGTGGCAATTTTGGAGGGACCTCTGTCCTTGGAACCTGAATTGCCTACCTGTAGTACTCCTAGCCTCAGAGGCTTCAGCCTTTGCTGCTTGCTGACAAACTGAGAAGAGATGCATTCTTGTCCCTTGTACTGAAGACTTTGGATCAAACACTTTAGGGGAAAGATGGGGCTTTGAAGAAGCACTGACGATACAGGAAAGCTAGTTTGCATATTCTAGAATGAATCGGAGGGGGCTTGTAGGAAGAGTGGCTAAAGCAGTTGCCAGAATTACAGGGTTTTCAGCTCCCAGGATTGCCTTTAATAACCTGCCTCCCTCTGTGCTGGCTAGGAGTTTTGGGACTGGTGGCTGAACACAGGGCATCAGGATGGGGAAGACTATTAACACTTCTCCGATCTGAGCTGAAAGTTGTCTTTTGTGCAGATACAAATCTCCCCCTCCGCCTCTTCAATGCAACCATTGGGACCTTCTTGCCTGACATAGAGCTGGTCACAGTGACGTTGGATGAATTGGGGCCCTTGCCACTGCCTGAGGCTGCAAAGCATGGCTGCACGGTCTTTGGGACCAGGTACCCCAATGGCAGCAGAGGCTATGTGCTGCAGATCCCTTTCGATAACCCCAGGATCAAGAAGGAGGTGAGTGCCAAGGGTCTGGGGGCTCTCAAGCTGTTCTTGCCCCAAATATAACAACAAGAATAAGCAGCCCCCAGTGGCATCATGTGGAATGACTGAGAAAGAGAGAATTGTTTCACTCTAAAATTAGGCCCTCCAAAAACCTAAAAATGGAGCCTTTTCACCCTGGCTTCAGTCCACTTTTGGGTGCCTAGTGTGTCCTCCACAGTGTTTCACCCTTCTCCTTTTCTGTGCTTGGAAAGGCCAACCTGCACCAGATCTGGCATGTCATAATATTAACCCAGGTTCCCCAACCTGGTCCCCTCCAGCTGTGTTGGATGATGTGGGGTGCGGGGGCTGGCTGGGAGACGCAAGGGCAAGGAGTTAAAGAATCATGTGAACAGAATTGAAAGTGCCAGTCATCTAGGGCTGGTTTAAAGATTTGGGGTGAACCCAAATGCAGCCTCAGAAGCTGTGTGTGGTAAATGACTGCATGTACCTGGCGTTGCGAAAATGTAGCAGGCTACACTATAAGGTATGTTGGTCACAAGCAGTCCAGGCCTCTAGTGGACTGCATGAACACAACCTTAACATGCAGCATCTTCCTTGAACTGTTAATCTTTGAGACTGCATTTCCCAGTGTGATGTCTGTGGACTTCTCCCATGGCATTCTTTTGGCCCTGCCAGTCTGCCTTTTGGGAGATCAGTGTTTTGTGATTGGCCATGCCAACCATGGCAGCCATTTTTATACATAACCAGCTTCCTCCATAGCAGCCATTTTTTGAGAATCCTGCAACAGTCCCTCCAAATGCCCTCAATGTTGCCCCAAACATTGGGGCCCTGCTGTGGATGGTGGTGGTAAAAGCCAGGAGCACTGTAATTCTTACATTGTGGTAACCAAAGTTTCTTTTCTCCCACCCTCCTTTTCCCAGTATGTACCAGATAACATCAGAAACTACACCATCACCCCCATACTGGGATTCATTGTAATTCCTCAGGGAGACACATTTTATGTCCCAGTCCCTCTGAGCGCCCTGGTCGAAGATGCAGGTGAGCCGATTGGGAATGCTTGTCCATACTCTGTTATATCAGAAGCAAAATGGATGAAAGTGACAAGCCAAAGGTTTGAACAGTAGGCCCATTGGCTTCTATCTAACATCTTGAAGATTATTCTAACGGTTGTTGGGTGTGGACCCCAGGCAGCAGGGAGGGAGTTTAAAGCTTCCTCTGCCTCCCATGTTAGAGTTCCTTTCCTGAGCAGGGGTCTTACCCCAGCTACCTTCAGTGCAAGGCTTGTGCTGGTATTACTGTCTGAGGACTGGCATTGTCCGGGGTTCAACAGGCTGGTAAGCTGCCATGGTACAGTTCAGTGGGATGGAGGGACCTAAGGGGTGGGGAAGAGGGAAACAGACAGGGTTCCTAGACAGCCTGTAGCCTTACTCTCCCTACCACTGCTGTCTCTTCTCTTGTGCAGTGCTGCCCCAGGCAGAGGGGTTCTGTGATGACCAAGCCCTCTACTTAGTGGTTAAACATGGCAATGTGGACCAGGACTGGCTGCCCTCAGTGGGCGAGGTGCTCTTGACCCAGGAGATGGCGCAGAGTCTCGGCTACATGTTGCAGGACAACAGGACCCACTTAGCCCTGTGGGTGCCCAGGCATGCTGCCCACGTGTTCTTTGAGGTAAGGGAAGAGGGCACGATTGGACAGCCACTGAATGCAGAGTAGAAGGGAGTGGGTTTTGGAAGATGCCATGAGAAGGCCTACCCAGTATCTTAGGAAATTGACCCACAGGGGCACTGGTTGCTGTCCCACTCTGTCTTTCAGGCTTCCTCAATTTGGTGCCTGCTGGTTGTTTTGGACTACAGGTCCTACCCTCTATGGCCTTTGACTGTAGCCAGTGAGAACTTGCAAGTCTAATTGTCTGGAGTATATTAGACTGCTGTAGTTCTGTAAGCAATTAAGAGTGCGATCCTGTGAATGTTTAGATGGGGGGAAGTCCTACAGCTCCCAGCATTCCCCAGCCAACTGTTGTAGGACTTTTTCCAATTGACACATGCACAGGATTGTGCCTTAGTATGCTCTGATAGTAGAAGTGGATACCAAAATTAGAACTACTTTTGCTTCAACAGTAGGAGTTATGTTGCACTTCTATAACTTGTGTTTCCTCCACCAAAATCTAGCTTCACTTATCTCCTTGCCATCTTGACAACATTCCAGAACAGGCCCTTGAAAACTGCTAGAAGTGCAGTGGTGACTGGAGCATTTGAGTCAAAAGGTCCAAAACCAGGCCAGAGGAATGAGAAACAGCTTAAAATAGAACTGGGTTCTTCAAGGCTCCTTATAGCACTAAGGGAATTTCACTAAATTACAGACTCTATTATGAGAAAGAACTTATCAGCACTGTTACCGTTTGTGAGATCCATCCAGGTCATGTATTCTGGGGCAGAGTCCAAGCTATGGGTGCAAGTCCTTGCCATACTAACACATCTGTGCATTTACAGACCAGACTTGTTTTCAAGTCCTCTGCCAAAAATGGGACTTTCCAGGGCAATCTTCTCTGTAGAAAGGTGGTGACCAGGTCAGTGTCCCCCAAAGTAGTCTGTACCTTGACAGGGGCCTAGATTTACCACTCGCTAGAGTGTTGACTCCATAATACTGGTACCCTTCCAATGCTTTGGATTACAACTGCCAGCATTCCTGATGATTGGCTATACTGACAGGGGCTGAAAAGAAATCCAAGAAATCTGGAGGACCCAAGTTGAGGAAAGCCTGATCTGAAAGGCACATTATACTTCTGCTTTCCCTTTTCTCTAGAAAGGAGTGGGATGGAGGTCAAGACAACTGTTGGTTTTGGGGTTGTCGTTTTGGGTCATGTAGCTAATCTGGTCTCCTTTTGCCAACTAGGAAATACAGTCTTTTGGGATTGTGGCCACTTTCAAGTTGCTGCTGAAGGATCGTCTCAGTGAAGTGGAAATGATAGATTTTGCCATTTCCTGCACATTCTCTTCGAAAGACCTCATTGGTAAAATTTCTCCCTAATCTTGCCCTCTCATTTCTGGGGGAGCAACTCAAGCAGATGTTGCAGCATCAAGTTCCACTGTGCAGGAGCCAATAACTTCAGAATTGTAGCTCTCCTGTTCAACCCAACTTGCACCATAGATAGCTCCTTTCTTACTATGTGTTCTTATTCTTTCTCTGGCTCCAACGTAAACCCCATTAAGTAACACACAATTTACCACCTTGTGCTGTGCCACCATTTTGAATATTTAACCTTTGTAACATCCAAAGCTGGAAGCTATGGGCTAATCATAAGTTAAACCATCTATGGTTAGCCTAAAAACTGGTTATGGGTGAAACAACACACAGTTTACTTAGACCATTAATTATAGGTTCAGTTGTCATGAAGCAACCTCCATTAGGGGGATGAACAACAAAATAGTGGCTGTAGAATGTTCCTGATGCACACCTTGGCAAATTGTAGGTTGCACTGTTAATGTGCAAACTAGGTATAAATTTCAAATGCCAATTGCTCTTCTGAAGGTTCAGTCCAGTGGTAAATTCTCTCCCAGCAGGATTCTTGGCTGGCTTGTCCATCCTGCTTTAAGAGTTGGGCACCTCTAGGAGGTCCAGGAGCAATTTGCTGCTTCCATTTCCCATGTGGACCTAGCCCTTCCCCAGCAGGTACCAAGGTTGGGTTTTAACTTCTTGGCTGCAGTCCCCGTCTGCAGTTATCTTGGAGCCCAGGAAAATAAAATCTGTCACTACCTCCATTTCTTCCTCATCTATTTGCCAGGAAGTGAGAGGTCCGAATGCCATGATCTTAGTTTTCTTAATGTTGAGTTTCAAGACAACTTTTGTACTCTCCCCCTTCACTCGCATCAAGAGGCTCTTTAGTTCCTCTTCACTTTCTGCCATGAGAGTGGTATCATCTGCATATCTGAGGTTGCTGATATTTCTCCCAGCAATCTTAATTCCAACTGGTGATTCATCTAGGTCCGCCTTTCTCATGATGTGCTCTGCACAGAAGTTAAATAGGCAGGGCGACAGTATACAGCCTTGCCGAACTCCTTTCTCAATTTTGAACCAATCAGTGGTTCCCTGCCCAGTTCTGACTGTTGCTTCTTGACCCACATATAGGTTTCTCAAGAGACAAATGAGATGGTCAGGTACTCCCATCTCTTTAAGAACTTGCCACAATTTGTTGTGATCCACACAATCAAAGGCTTTAGCATAGTCAATGAAGCAGAAGTAGATGTTTTTCTGGAACTCCCTAGCTTTCTCCATGATCCAGCATATGTTGGCAATTTGATCTCTAGTTCCTCTCCCTCTTCGAAATCCTGCCTATACTTTTGGTAGTTCTCGGTCCACATACTGCTTGTAGGATTTTGAGCATAACTTTGCTAGCATGTGAAATGAGTGCAATGGTGCGGTAGTTTGAACATTCTTTGGCATTGCCGTTCTTTGGGATCGGAATGTAAACTGACCTTTTCCAATCCTGTGGCTACTGTTGGGCTTTCCAAATTTGCTGGCATGTTGAGTGTAGCACTTCTACTGCATCGTCTTTTAAGATGTTGAATAGTTCAGCTAGAATGCTGTCACCCCCACTAGCTTTGTTGTTGCTCAGACTTCCTAAGGCCCATTTGACTTCACATTCCAAGATATCTGGCTCAAGGTCAGTGACCACTCCATCATGCTTATCAGGGACGTTAAGCTCTTTCTTGTATAGTTCTTCTGTGTAATCTTGCCACCTCTTCTTAACCTCTTCTGCCTCTGTTAGGTCCCTGCCATTTTGGTCCTTTATCATGTCCATTTTTGCATGAAATGTTCCCTTCATATCTCCAATTTTCTTGAAGAGATCTCTGGTCCTCCCTATTCTATAGTTTTCTTCTATTTCTTTGCACTGTTCATTTAAGAAGGCATTCTTATCTCTTCTAGCTGTTCTCTGGAATTCTGCATTCAATTGGGTGTATCTTTCTCTTTCTCCCTTGCCTTTCACTTCCTTTCTTTCCTCTGCTATTTGTAAAGCTTCCTCAGACAGCCATTTTGCTTTCTTGCATTTCTTTTTCTTTGGGATTGTTTTAGTTGCTACCTCTTGTACAATGTACCACCGTCCATAGTTCTTCAGGCACTCTGTCTATCAGATCTAATTCCTTAAATTTATTTGTCACCTCTACTGTATATTCATCAGGGATATGATTTAGGTCATACCTGAGTGGCCTAGTGCTTTTCCCTACTTTCTTCAATTTAAGCCTCAATTTTGCAACGAGAAGCTCATGATCTGAGCCACAGTCAGCTCCTGGTCTAGTTTTTACTGACTGTATAGAGCTTCTCCATCTTTGGCTGCAGAGCACATAGTCAATCTGATTTCTGTGTTGACCGTCTGGTGATGTTCATGTGTAGAGTTGTCTCTTGGGTTGTTGGAAAAGAGTGTTTGCTATGACCATCGTATTCTCTTGACAAAATTCTGCCAGCCTATGCCCTGCTTCATTTTGTACTCCAAGGCCAAACTCGCCTGTTATTCCAGTTATCTTTTGGCTTCCTACTTTAGCATTGCAATCTCCCATGATGATAAGGACATCATTTTTGGGTGTTAATTCTAGAAGGTGTTGTAGGCCTTCATAGAACTGGTCAACTTCATAGAACTGGTCAACTCTTCAGCACCAGTGGTTGGGGGATAGACTTGGACTACTGTGATGTTGAATGGTTTGCCTTGGATTCGAACTGAGATCATTCTGTCATTTTGGAGATTGTATCCCAGTACTGCTTTTCCTACTCTTTTATTGACTATGAAGGCTACTCCATTTCTTCTGAGGGATTCTTGCCCGCAGTAGTACACCTGATGGTCATCTGAATTATATTCACCCATTCCTGTCCATTTTAGTTCACTGATTCCTAAGATGTCGATGTTCAGTCTTCTCATTTCTTGTTTCACCATGTCCAGCTTGCCTTGCTTCATGGATCTTACATACATGGTTCCTATGGAGTATAGATCTTTGCAACATCGGACTTTTCTTTCACCACCAGATCCATCTGCAACTGAGTGTCCTTTCGGCTTTGATCCAGTTGCTTCATTCTTTCTGGCGCTACTAGTACTAGCCCTCCACTCTTCCCCGGTAGCATATTGGACACCTTCTGACCTGAGGGGCTCATCTTCCGGCATCATATCTTTTTGCCTTTTGGTACTGTCCATGGGGTTTTCATGGCAAAGATACTGGAGTGGGTTGCCATTTCCTTCTCCAGTGGATCACGTTTTGTCAGAGCTCTCCGCTATGACCTGTCCATCTTGGGTGGCCCTGCATGGCATAGCTCATAGCTTCATTGCGCTACGCAAGCCCCTTCGGCACGACAAGGCAGTGATCCATGAAGGAGAACACCACAAATCTGTAAATTTCCTTTTTATCTGTTTGGGATTCTGTTAACAGCCACAAAGCTCCCAAAGTGTCAACATCAACTTGCAAACAAGTTAACTGTTACTTTGGGGTTGTTTTGTTTGAGCTATAGATAAGGTATATGTGTCTCTAAAGGTACTCCAAATTTTGGAGATGGGAGGGCCACACTGGAGAGCCACAGAACCAACATGTGTCTTAAAGTACACTTAGGGGAAGCCATGATGAAAGCTGTATAGAGCCTTGCATGCCTCTAGTGTAACTAGCACGTGTCCGTCTTCTGTCCAGCTTTAAAGAAAAGGATGTATTGTGGAATCACAGTGGCTCTTTCATGTGCATTTCACAGGTGACCACATGATGTCACCCTCAGTTTGTAAATCTTCTGTGTTCTGCCGTTGCTTCTATCCTTTTTTATTTCTTTGTCTTTGCAGCAGAAAATCCATTAACAGGGGAAAGGGTGGACAAGGCTTCTGATTAGTAGTGCAGGGAGTCCTCTGCCAAACACCCAGGAAGGGCGGAAGGGTCACGCAGGCACCGCAGCCATTGATGTCATCAGGCCTACGTGGGGCTTTGATCTTCAGCACATGCTCAGTACATCTCTGCAGCCTCTTTGTTTTGATCTATATTTTGTTTTGAAGCAGTGCTGAATTTACATATGGCCAGTAGTGCTGGCTGTATGAAAAATTAAGATTGAAACAGTAAAAAAGCAAAAATATAACTGAAATGAAAAATGTTGCGGTCTCTGCTTTTTTCACATGTATAAAGTGAATTCCTTCCAGGCACTAACTAGTGTAGACTGGTTGTTCATGGAGGGGAGGTGACTTTTAATTCCTAAAATATAGGATTATACAGGTATAATGTTATAACTCTATTTTTTTAAAGTCTTTCCTAATCATTACCTCCATGAATCATGTTAAAATGGTGGTGACAAGAAGGGGATTTTATCATATATGCACATAACTGACTAGGGATATAACATTTTAACATCTCATTTAAGTGGTATTTTAGTTCTTGATGCTTTCAGAATACATAGAAATGTTTTTGGCATGACTGAAAGGAGACTTGCCAAAAAAAAAAAAAAAAGGATTAAAAATGTTCCCCACTGTAAAGAGATGCTGAGTAGTGAGAGGTTTAGTGGCTTGGTAAGTCATTGCTCTTATCAAAATGATGCCCCTTTAAAGGTAGAAAAGTTGCACTACTAGTACAGACAGAAACTGCTCACTGTTCTCAGAGTGTGGAAAACTGGTTGCAATTCTGCTTCTACTTTGCTGTGGGAAAAGTAACTATGGGCCCTGCACGCTTGCTTTCTGGAAATGCCTCAAGTGTGGCGGCTGCCTGGAGAGGTGCTGGGCATGATCCAACTGGGAGGTCAGAGTTAGGAAATGGTCCTTCGCCCACCAGATGCCCTGGAGTGGAATGTCTGTCTGATTTTTCCTGCAGACTGCCTGCCCAACGGCACCATAGTGGTCTCTGCTGTGAAGCTGATTGGCATCTCAGACATGGATCCCGCTGGTTTGGTGCTGCGAGACCGTCGCTGCAGGCCTGTTTCAGCAACAGGCAAAGGAGCAACCTTCATCTTCAATGTGAACTCTTGTGGGACAACCCGCATGGTGAGAAATGGCTGTGCCTTTTCTCTTGGCGGGTGTGGAAAGGCTATTGCCGTGCACATCAACCCCATCAGGCAGCCTTCCCCAAACTAGTGTGCTCCAGATCTCTTAGGCTACCGTTCCCAGTTGCTGGAAATGCTGGGAGTTGTAGGCCAAAATATTTGAAGGGCACCAAGTTGGGGGCTGAAACAGGGCAAACTCAAAAGCTTGCATGTTCCTTTCAGTTAATCATTTCAGGTTTAAATAGCCACTGGAGCTGGATGGGATGCCAGGAATGTTCTGCTAGACTTACGCTTGATTTCCCTTATCTCAGAGGGTGGTTGGCAGGTTAAAGCAGTGGGAGGGAAATGCACATTTGCTACCCTGAGCTGCCTGTGGAAAGTGAGATTAAACATCTCTGAAACTTGCAGCCTCCTAACCCTATAATCCTTCCACAGTTTGGCAATTCTACCATGACCTATGAGAATGAGGTTCTGTACTTCCTCACGGGCCAAACAGTACCTGTTTATCGGTGAGTGCTCATGACTTGGGATGAGGGACACTTTAAAAGCATGGTAATCTGGTAGGAGGTAGGTGCCTATCCACACACTGCTATAGCACCATGCTCAATGCTGCCCTAAATAAATGCAGAATTGATTGAATTGATACAATGGAACTGGGTATTTCTGGCTCAAACACAGGAATGTCTCCTAGGCAGGTTTTCCTTCTAGCATCTTGCCTTTTAAATCTGTTAAGTGTGTGTCTGTATTGGCTGGATGGGCAGCAACAGACTTCTCTCACTGGTAATTCTTATTACTATTTTGAAAGGTTGAAATGCTCTTGTCGATACTTCATTGGTGATGCTCTGTTGCTCCAATACAGTCCTGTGGAAGGTCCATCACCAAGCATCCTTCCTGGGATTGGGATGCTGGCGCTTGCCCTTAAATTGGCTAGAGGTAACACCAAAGGGATGGGGCTATAGAAGTATATGCTAATCTCTGTGTCCACATGTTTTATGAGTATTATCTTACAGCAGGGATGTCGAACCCCTCTCAGACTGAGAAATGAATTCCATTTTGGAGGAGCTCTTGGAAGATCACATTCCATTGCAGGGTGGGGTGACAGGGCAGAGCCAGAATTATCAGTATATTTTAACTGGAAACACTTATTGCCAGTAACTGAACCCTGGGTAGGCATTTTTGCCTTCTAGAATTATACAGTTTCCCCAGTCCCCCCTCCACAGCAGCTGTGAAACCGCCTAACAGCCAAGAGTTCCAGGGTGATTGGTGGAAGGCTGGGGGAAGGAAGTGTGGCCACATCCAGGGGAATCCCAGAAGGCCAGATTTGGACAATGTCTGAGGTTTAACACCCGTCTTAACGGTCTTTCTACCAAATGAGATGATGCTCCATCTACAATTCTAATAAGTGTGTGTGTTTTAAATTGATTTTAAAAATATTGACTTGAAAAAAGCGGCACTAGATCTAGCCAATTTTAAATTCAGTAGGGCTAACCCTTGGCCCATAGAGGTAGAGGTTGATGGGGGTTGTAGTTCATACCTGAAAGGGACCAGTGGTGAAGGCTGATCTTAACATGCTTTCCCCCTCTTTGCTCTTGCTAGATAAGTCCTACAGTGACTTTTACCAGGACACAGAGTACCCAGTGATTCGCTACCTCAGAGAGCCTCTCCACTTCCAGGTAGAGCTTCTCCACAGCCAAGACCCCCAGCTGGAACTCTTCTTGGTGGACTGCTGGACAACAGCATCGGTGGACAGGAACAGTTCTCCACAATGGCATATAGTGGTTGACAGGTGACACTGCAAATATTTTGTTTTTCAGTCCTATGCTGCAGATGCATAAAGTCCTATATACTTTGTTTCCCCAATTTCTATTGTCTAAACTGAAATGTTCACACTATGATGGAAGCAGCAAGCAGACATTTTAATAGAGTCATGCTCGAACAGCACTGCTGTGTTGGGTTGTATATAAAGCTGAACTAACCTATGTTAACATGGTGGAGGGCCCAATGGAGAAGGAAACCTTGTACTGATTGCTGAAATCATTGCTGTATTCTGTAAACCATCCAGCTACTTTAAGACCTTCAAGCATGCAGCAGAGCCTCAAAAGCCAGGAGAAACCTTAATGCTGGGTTGTTCTGGAACAGCCCAATTCTGCATAGCATTCAGCTTTGCTTGATGCAGAGGTTCAGGTTACATCGGCATAGGGCACTTCTAAGCCAGACGGTATGGTCCTGTTTTGACATGCTAAGCTGGTAGCTTCTCTGCTCTTTTTTTAAAAGTTGCGAGAACCCGAAGGACGCACATCGAACCACATTCCACAGAGTCCCTAGTGGCTCTGTCCCGTTTCCTACACACCTGAAGCGGTTTGAAGTGAAGATGTTTACATTCGTAGTAAATGGGAAAGCTCTTTGGGGGCAGGTAAGACATGCCCTTAAGTCTTCACACAGAATCATGATGCTGCTACTGATGCAGTTAGGTCATTAGGTCATTTAGATTCTGGACTTAAGGCACAATCCTATGCATGTTTAGGCAGGAAAAAGTTGTACACCTTCTAGCATTCCTCAGTTAGCATAGTTGGCTGGGGAATGCTGGAGAAGCTCTTGTATTGGGCTTTTTAATCTGTCTATTGTGCCTGTAATTGTCTCAAAAGGTGGGGTGGGGGGAATTTAAGAATTTTAAGAATTAAAAGGGTCATGGTAATGTGTATTGCATCAAAATATGGTAAGCAGGCTGTGCTGCATTTCGGGGGCCCTGCTCATTCTACTCAATAGGGCTCTGAACATCACCCCAGAAGTCTTACCCTGATGGGGATATTGGCTGACTTGTTTCTTTGTTGTTTTTCCCTTTAATGAAGTTTTGCCTGCCAGTGCTTTAATTGCTGTTCCCTGTTGGTTTCTGTGGACCTTAGCATGGCCTCTTCCCATGGCACTGCACTGCCCTAGGAAGTAAATGTTGCACTTTAGTTTAAGCTTTCTAACCAAATTTAAAGCTGAAGTCATCCTAGTTTTTATTTTGCCTTCTTCAGCACCAATGACTCTGCTCCTCCTGAAGCCATGGAAGTAGTAGAATACTGGTGGTATTCCTACTGCTTAGTAATTTGCCACCTCCTCAGTGATTTTTTTAATGCAAGGTTAATTTCTTTTCCCACCACTGCCCCCAAAACCATGATCTTCAGATCTATTTCCACTGCAGTACAGTGATCTGTGATTCCAACTATCTGTCCTCTGATGCCGTGTGTGCCAGGCGTTGCATTCCCAGAAGGCAAAGAGTAGGTAAGTGCCTTAAAGATAGATGGTATTGATGTAGATGGCTTGAACTGGAGCTCCCAAGCAAGCTTGGAGTACTTCACACTTTCTTCTACAGTGCCACTTGGCTTGACTAGGACCTTCAGCCAAGGGTGTACAAACTCAGGCTGTGGTTCAGTCCAGCTTGCCTGGGGTCTCCATCTGGGATTCCCCAGATGACAATGCCCCTTTCTCATGGCCCTATCCCCTTTACCTAATTGCCCTCAGTCTAAAGGATTTCAGTGCTTCTCCTGCAGCTTAATCACTGGTAGTAAGTGCTTTAAGCTAAAAGGGTCAGGGCCAAAGGTGAAAGGGTGCTTTCCCTGTTGACATTAAGATGAATTTCAAAGTCCAATGTCAATGCATGTTGCTGTCAAGTGGGTTAGAAATCTTCATGAGTGGACATGCAAACAGCATAGAGATGGCACAGGTTGCTTCTGATTAGGAAGGTGTGGCTCTGAATGTGGCAACGTTGCTGCATCTTTGTTTTTATCCTTTTGCTAGGTCGTAGCACTGATTCTACCAGTGGTATGCAAGGATATGTCTCATCTGGAGCAATTGTGATAGGAAAGAGGAACCATACCTAAGCATCTTGTAAATGGACTTGATTTGGTGGACTCTGAAATGGCGAATGGTATTTGTTTGCTGCTACAGCTGTGTGTATCTTTTTGCAATAAAGGCCTTCAATAGGCACAGCCAGACTTTTGATCTCATGCTGTTCGGTAAAAGCTTGAGGAAGAATTGAAGATGGGAATGGGACAAGCTGAAAGCCCCAGGGTTTTTATTAAGAAATGCCATTATGGAAATAGTACATTGATGGTACTGCTGTCTTATACTTAACAAAGCTGGTAGGTAGAAGTTGAAAAAATTCATTTATACTCTTACATAGAGGCAACTTGAACCATTTAGAGTGTTCTGTGAACCTTTGCTCTAAAGCTTGATTTGGGAGGTAGGATTGTCTGTGTCATTTTGTTCTATAGTAATTGCAAAGCTACTCCCTTTAGATAGTTACTTTGTCATTTGATGACCCAAAACTACAGGAACTGTGGTAGGATGCTAGAGAAAGGGGGCAATCTTGTGTGCATTTATATAGGAAAAAGTAATACAATTACCTCATTTCCCAGCCACTCATAGGATTGTGCCCTCACTTTGTGAGGCTGTGTTTACTTCAAAAACATGTTTTACTGTAGGGGAAAGCTATCTGAATAGGTCAGTACACCATACCCCATACAGCAGGGTCTGTGACTAACATTTTTGAGAAGTTGAAGGGACTGCCCTTCACAGTCTACTTCAGCTAGTGCAATTCACATTTGGATTCAACCCTAGATAAATGCATAGCCATGTTTTAAAGTGTCTGCGCTTATACTATTTTTCCTAAATAGTAACATAAAAACATAATCTACTTGCCTTGTTTCTTCTGTCATTCCCAGCTATTCATACTCTAATTATGCATGGTTAAGAGCTACATTTCCTTGCCATGGTACATCCAGGGATAAACCAGTATATTTATGACTTGAGAAACTGCTTTAATGATACAGCCATTATAAGAACATAAGGCATAGGAAAATGACTGCTCCACCCAAGCATTTTCTTCTCAAATGTGTGGGTATAGTCCTCAGATACAACAGTAATAGTTGCGGCCAGTATAAACTTTGCAAACGTTCATTTTAACATTCCCATCTCAGAAATTCTAATTAGCTCAAAAAACATTGAATTAGGCAATGCTGAAGTGTGAAAATAGTTTCAGGAAGAATTAATATTGACCAAGGACAAGATGTTGCTGCAGTGTGAAGCTGTAAACTGATACCCACCTTCTTGGAAGTAAGCCCCTGAACTCACTAGGATTAACTTCTGAACAGACCTGCATACGTGTTAAACTTTGTACAGGGACACTTCACATGATAATTTGTTATGCTTACATTTTGGGCAACCAGGCAGATCACTGGTTTCTTGCTTGGCTCTTGATCTTGTTTGCTGGCTTAGCTTTGTAATATTACTGTCTTTATACAGTCTAAAGTGTTCCAAATTGCTGTAGAAGCCTTTACTGACTGAAAAGGGAGGTCAAATGCTATGAACATTTAATATTAAAGTGGTTGCTCGGTTAGGGTAATGACATGCAAACTGCTCTTGGCATCTCATTCTCAAGCCATGGCATCTTATTTTCACAGTTAAAAGCATTATGACTGTATCTTTTTAAATGCACTGGGTCCTATACAACCAGCCCATATGACTAAAGAAGTTATAAGTAGATATGGGTGTACAAAAAAAAGTTAATCGTTAGTGAAATGATGCACATGAGGTAGAAGAACCACTGGCAGCTGCAGGGGAACAGTGCTTGAACAGCAAAAAATAGCTTACTCAATGTAAACTAGTTTTCTTCAGAAAGTAGTTCAAGAGGAGGTGGTGATGACGGGAACAGCAGCAGAAGCATTCTCAATGAACTGTAGAAAAAGGCCAGCAGCCGTGAAAGATGATAGTCAAAAGCACTGGCGTGGAAGGTTTGGTAAACATAGGTAAAACGGGAAAGGAAAGGTGATGAGTGTGTGAAAAGCAACACGTATGAACTCATAATGCTGAAGTGTGTTACCACCCATTCTTGCTGTGGTACTATAAAATAGGAAAAATAATAGAATCTCCAAGGTAAGGCAGTGGGGAGTGAAGGAAGTGGGATAAGAATGTACAGCACTAACCTATTTGTTTTCTCAAAAGCTGTGTGTTCTAAAATAGTGGCTAAATTAACTCAAAAATGGGTGCAATGACACATGGAAGCTATTTCACTTGGTAAAATCACTAGGAGTTCACTTGTTCAGCATCTTCTATCAAAGAATAAGCTTTTGGTTGTGGTCCTATATAACCTATATCTATGTATCTGGTATAGCTCAAAACCCTTCTACAGTAATTTTCCTGGGACATAACCTTGCAGTGTAGAGTTTTAGTGGGCACTGTATTCTTCTGTTGCATTAGCCGAGTTATTAATGTACAGTATTGTTCTGGTACAGTGAAGCTGTTTTGGATCAGTGGGACCTGAAACAGACCAAAGCTGTAGCATATATAAGTTGATTATCAGGCAGGGTTATGCTTCTACTTCCTACCACCCACAAGCAGCTAGTTGGGTTGCTATTTATGAAACACTGTAGTTGCACTGCCCAAGGCTAAATGCCTAATAGCCCCAGTACAAAGAAGAGTTTGCCGAGTGTCACCCCTGGCTACATTATGGTGATAGCAACCTCATATATCAACCTCCCACATTAGTTCTTTTAACAGTGTTTGTGTTCCTCTGTGTTTTCTAAAGTACCGGAAGCTAACAGGTTTATCTTCGGTGTGTCAGTCATGTATCCAGCTTATATCATGACTATATAGAAATAAAAGTTGAAAACATCCCTGACTTTAGGCCTGGATGGAATGCTTTTAGCAGAGGCTATTGATTCCTTTGCTGTCTGAGATGGTCAGTTATGGCAGACATTTTCTTCTGATTGGTCACACTTACCACGGTTTCCTTGCAAATGCACAAGGAGACTGGTGGCTGACAGCTGGCCTATGAACTCAAAGAGCAATCTCAACCATGATTAAAACTACTATGCAGCATACAGGAGCTCCAGGGCACACTGTAGCACATACGTTTTGAAGGCAGAAATGTTTTAAGCTTTCATTTATACTTAATTCCTTAACAAATTCCCTGAAAGAAATTCAAAGCACCAAAAAAATGGAAATTTTTGGTTTGCTTCCATCTTCTTTTCCTTCCATTTTTAACTTGAAGTATTTGCTGTGTGAAAATTGCTACCAGCCCCAGTAGTGGTTATGTTGATACACTGCAAGGAGAAAGAGGTGTATATGTAATCAAATTGTTCTTCAAAAGTTTTAAACTTTAAGGGACAGAGGTGAGGAATCCATGCTGCAGAAAATATATTCTTGTTTATTGCAGCTACTCATTATCCCCACATAAAACCATGAACTCCCCACTTTATACTTCCTCTAATTATTTCTGGCATTTGGTAATGCTACAGAACTGCTAAAGTAATAGATCTTTTTCCAACTACAGCATTTGCAATATGTGAACAGTTGGATAAATGCATGATGATCTAATTACAAACAGAATAAATACAAGGAAAACTACAGATTAGAAAAAAACAGCACATCTGAAGCAGGATGCATGCATAGATACACCACACAGTCCTGTGCAGATGGTTCTGCACCCTCAGAATCTTTCCTTTAAATACCTGTCTAGTTCTTCTAGTTGTGAAGGATATATATATCAGCCTGGTGTAGTGGTTAAGAGTACAGGCCTGAGACTCAAGTGATCTGGGTTCTAATCCTCACTTGGCCATTGAGCCAACTGGGTGTCTTTGGGCCAGTCACAGACTCTTAGCACAAACGTACCTCATAGGGTTGTTGTGGGGATTAAGACTGAGAGAAGGAAGAGGAGAATGTTATAATGAACTCAAAGCAGCTTACAAGATAAAAGTGGGATAGAAATAAAAATACCACTGAATAAAATTTCCAGCACTCAGAGGAGCTCTCAGTTTCACAATCACCCTTTGCTAATGTTATGTCTTTAGGAACAATCATTAATTTACACAAAACTGTAGAATTATTCAAAGTTTCAAAATGTTAATATGGTTCAGAATTCAGCTTTCCCTACCACCCCTCGTTTTTATAATGCAAATTATTTTGTTTCCCTAGATAGATCGCCACATCCATTTACCTCCCTTTGGAGCACAAATGGTAGAGAAGTAGAACATGCTTTGATAAAAATAGACCAGTACAGAATAGGTGGTCCTGATATGGGCAGTGCTTATATCTCAATGGCCTAAATGTAGGATACTGCCACCCAATACCACCATGTCCATGTTATGGTCAATGAGCAGGCACACATGCTACTTAGCAATTGCTAACAGATGAATAAGATGTTCCATCTTCTGGACGCAGAGTGGTTAAGAACAGATTGTGAGAGCCAGACAATAGAAACATGCAGTTTAGATGCATTTGGTTTCTCTACCACCATTTTCTGTTGGTGTGGAACAGGCAAGGGTTAGCTGGTTTGTCAGAAAGATGTTCTGGAATACCTAACATACAAACCAACTTGGAAGAATTCCTTTAGTTTTGCCAGCCACTTTCTGGCAAAGAAAAGTTTGGCAAACTTTCTTTGCCAATCTCATTCTTCTGCCAAAAAACTCATTTATTCATAAACATGCTACCACTCTACTGCCTTGAGAATTCAAAAGAGTAGCAAGATTTATAGTGGCTACACTCTATACCTTGATTATCTCAAAGACAATTTGACTGGTCCTACTGTCACCTAGGTGGTGTTCAAAATATTTCCGTCACTAAACTTCCCCACTTAGTGCCTTACAGAGGTTATGGGAACTGCAAGTGTGCACAGCTCTCACTGTGGGCAGAACTTACTCCAAATAAAGTGTGTCCTTGGTTCAGAAATTGGATCTTTCTTGCTAGGCAAGTGTAGTACATTGTCTTGTCAACATTCATCAGTTGGGAGCAGTCATGGCTCAGTGACAAGAGTACATGTTCTGCACACAGAATATCCCAGCTTCTCCAGGAAAGAATTCTGCCTGAAAGCCTAGAAAACCATGGCTGTCAGCTAGTGTTGAAAATGATGAGCTCGATGGAACCATGATCTGGTTTGGTATAGGGCTGCTTCTTTTGTACCATTTACTCAAGGCAGAGCAGAGTTCCCTTCCCAAAACAAAACGTGAAAGATACAAGAAGCAAACCCCCACTATGTACTAAACATTGCTACAAATTTATTACAGATCTGTTTTTCAAGTACATTTTGAAAAGTAACAACCACTTTTTAAACATGTGAATACAAATTCAACACAAAAATCATACACCCCGGTGGCAATGCAGTGAGTACAGGAGGGATGAGGGGAGAAAGAAGCAGGAGTGAAGGGGAGCAGAAAGACAAAAGCAATAATGTAGGTCCTTTGCACCTGGAGCTGTGGCAGTGGCTATTCCAGCCACAGGAGGTCCAGAGAACTGTCCAACAACAACAAACTGACCCATAGCACCTCTGCTTACAAATATAGATATTTTGCTAGGAAAAGGCCAGGCTGTAAGGCTCATCTCCTGAGCCAGTTTGAAGGAAAGATAGCTCCCTGCTCTGCTGTCGAGAGATCAAATATTTAATTTGATAAAATTCTATTCAGGGTCAGGAGAGACAGGGACCTGATGCCACTTTAGTAAGACAGCTCTCAGAGACAGTAAGTGGCCCATTTAGTAGGCTGTGTACTCCTTGAGGAAGGGGACATGGTCCTAAGTGGTTCTGCTATATCCCCAAAAGCAGAAAAGCTAGCTAAATGAGCAATTTGTCTGTTAAGATAAGGGGTGCAAGGAAGATGGCTTGCCTGCTGTGCTGGAGGATTAGATTCCACCCCCCCCACCCCCCAGGACTGATATTTTTTACAAATCAATAGTTCCTTGCTGAGTAGGGAAAACCCCCTAGGGCTTGGTGCTCCAATTCAAAGTCTGACCATTAGTAAAGCAATGGACTTTCATGCTTGGCAGGAAGCCTTCTATAAAGGAACTTCCATGGGCTACCAACAAGACAGCCAGGACTGCTGTGAGCAAGCAAGCAGAAGGACAAGGAACTATCCCACTGACCCATCAGGGGTCAGCACCTTCCAGACTTCCTTGGGAGGGCTGGAAGTCTGTGATGGAATAAGGAAATGCTACCCCTGAACAGAGGTGGAAACAGCCTGGGGTAGACTTGGAACCCCACCTCCACAGTTAGTTGCCATGCTCCAGAAGAACTCCTGCTCCACTCGAGCAGGCTCCCCCTCTGAAGAGACTTGCCAGTTCTGCCTTCAGCATGGTATCAGAGGGGAGGCAAGCCTGGAAAGCTGGCTTGGCTGGCAGGCAGGGAAGGCAGGCTGGGGAGGAATTACAGCAGCTGGCACGAGGTCTTTTTGCGGCCACGCTTGGCCTGCAGGGCAGCCCGAGTGGCCATCTCAAACACTTCCCGTACTCCATCTTTTGTCTTGGCAGAACACTCCAGGTAGCCAAAAGCACTAATCCTGTTGGCCATGTCCCGACCCTCCTCTGGTTTCACTGGTTCCTAAAAGGTGAGTTTGGGGAGAAAGATAGTAAGGTCTCCAGGTTTTTAGTCTAGTAAAATAAATTGGTGAAGAATCTAGCAAAGAATCACTCAGCAGTCTGTACTGAAAACTGGTTTTAGAATCTAGGTATCCTTGCTGGAAGTAAGATTGTGAAGATGGAAGTGAACATTTATGGCATTCTGGAAGTATAATATTGGGCCTATTCATGCATCATGACAGCCTGCCATGGATTAGTTTACTAGCAAGGGTTGCTATGGTGTGCTAGGCACCATTTTGGCATACCATCCTGGTCTCCAGCTTGTCATGTCATATCAATTCAGGTGGCAGGGATTGTTTGATAGTTTAACAACCTTCAAATAACCTCAATTCACCTTTAAGTAAATTAAGTCATGGTAGACCATCATGTCAAGCAAACTAGGCTGTCACATGCCCTATAGACCAGCCACCCCAAACTTGGTCCCCTCAGGATATCTTGGGTCATAATGTCTAACATTCCTGACCACTAGGCCAATATAGCTGAGTCTGATGGAAGCTGAAATGCAAAATATATGGAAGGCACCCAACAGCAGAAGGCTAGTTTATATTCTGAAAAGATTTTAAAAACCACAAGGAAACTTCCCACTTTCTGCCTCATTAAGTCCATTTCAAACATGACAGGAAGTCCTGGATGGGGTTGTACCTCTGCTCAGAGAATTAAAATGGAAAGGGCAGATTCTGTCCAAACCTGTTTGCTCCATGTGTTGGACCCTGCTGCATAGGTATTGCTGGGACTCTCTGGGCAGGGTCCAAGACATAATGATTATTCTGATGCTACTGCTGGGTATCCCTGAATGGGACAATAAAGTACTTGGCTTTACCTGCTTCATTTTGGCTAACTCCCGGCGTGTGTGTTCATCATTACGCAGGTCTTTCTTGTTTCCCACCAGGATGATAGGCACATTGGGACAAAAGTGTTTCACCTCTGGAGTCCACTTCTCAGGGATGTTCTCTGTAGAGGCACGAGGGCTTACTAATATCTCACACACAAATCAAAACAGTATCTGGAGTTGTCAAGTCACTAGTAGATGAGACACAATACTCCAAAGCCAATGTTTACAGCATACTTCAGCTATCTCCAGGAAAGTATTTGCCAGACCCTCCAACCATACCCACCCCCAGCTCCCACTATGGAACACGAGTGGCAGCTCAAAACCTACAGCCAGTATAAACAAATGTTAGTGCTGAGGCATGTGTAGCAGAAGAGGCTGGTCACTACCATGGTGGTGAGGGATAGCAGATGCCATATGTTCATCAAGTAAGCTACTAACAGCAGGATGATATCCTTGAGAAGACAGATCAAAGAAAGGGGACTGAATATATTTGGGCTTCTCATTCAGCCAGCCCTCTTGCTACACACAAAGGAGAGGTTGTTAAGGACTCACCTAAACTATCAGGGCTGTCAATAGAGAAGCACATGAGGATGACATCTGTGTCTGGGTAAGAGAGAGGTCTCAGGCGGTCATAGTCCTCTTGGCCAGCTGTATCCCACAGAGCCAGCTCCACCTGTAGAAGTACAAATGTGGCAACTTATTGAAGTCCTCAGAATGCCATCAGTGTCACTCCATTAACTATGAACACATTCTGTAATGTGCCAGTGGCTTACTCCATTAGAAACACAGCATGCTTCAGTGAATCTGCTCAGAGCCAAAAAGATGAATTCCAAACCCTATTCCCCCATTAACACCAATGAAGTGCAGTCCCAACTAAACCACATGTTTTTTCCACTGTTAAGTTTTCTTTCAAACCAATTGCTCTCTTTGCCCTTTGAGGGTTGGTGGGGGAATGGAAGAAGTCTGCTTCATAGATTACCCTGACTGACCAAGAAAAGAGCAACACAAATATATTTTACCTCAGAGACATGTGCTGGAAGGCCAAATGCCCAAGGCAATATATAAAAGGCAGCCACATAACTCATTTGTTACATTTCTATACATAGTTCCAGATTCATCTTCTCAGAAATATACCTCAGAGCCAAATAAAGAACCTTTTTCTTTTCCTGTATACAATGTTTTGCCACTGGAGAGAAATGTATTGTAGTGTCACCCCTTTTTATTAGTTGCATTTCAAGTTTCACAACAGGGCTTTCACATGTGGAAAAAACCTTTCTATTTTACAACTTTTCTTTTTTAAGTCTCATTCTTGAGACATGGCCGAACTGGGGATTTTCCAGGGTTATGCCTATACTGTTAGACATAAACTGCTACCTAAGGCAGCCTTATTAAGTCTCTGCCTTAAAGCAACTTTCACTCTATGTCCCTACCAATTCAGAATTACAGTTCCATCCCAAAAGAGAGAGAGAGAGAGAGAGAGAGTGATCTTGACTATAGAATTACAAGAGTTCATGAAACATTCAAGTGGACTGAGTTAACATTTGAACTTGGGGCTCCCAAATAGTCACTAGATCCACTCATTAAACTCCTCCATTCTATTTTCTATACAGTGAAATTAATTATGTCCTATTTACCCAAAGTTGCTGAAAAGCACCAAAGTAGTAATGTTAGTCACTAAACACAAATCCAATTAATTTTTCTAAAACACGATCCACCAGAAGAACTAGCAGTCCTTTTAACAAGCAACTCAGAATGCTCCTAATGTCAGGATTACCTGCTTTCCATCCACCTCAATGTCAGCCACATAGTTCTCAAAGACAGTGGGGACATAGACTTCTGGGAACTGGTCCTTGCTGAAGACAATAAGAAGGCAGGTCTTTCCGCAAGCTCCATCCCCCACAATGACAAGTTTCTTGCGTATTGCAGCCATCTCTGCTGAAAGAAGAACATTCTTTATTAGTCAAAAATCCCAGCCAGTGATGAGTTTTACAGGAAATCTTCTTGCCTTTGGCTTTGCCCATAATGGGTAGGGTCATTATGCTTCACAAGAACTACATTAGGCCTCTGAAATTTTCATCTGTTCAGATTAATCAGGTCTTTGAAACCTCAAGAAAATTTCAAGGATGAAATTTAGGGGCAGAAGTCAATGTGCAACTAAATGCAAGTTTATTTGGATCTAAAGCTAAGAAATTTAATGTTAATTTTCTGTTTCAAAATGCAAAGATTTAAACTTAAATATTTGAAGGATGGAGTTAAGCACACTTAATACAATCTGAATGTTATATCACACAGACATTTTACTGGAATATTTATTAAAAATTAAAGGCCATAGCATTTATTTGCTTCACATTGTTTACATTGAGGCAAACCCCCTCAAAGGTACTGAAAAGTGTTGACCTGCTAATAGTAGCACCCAAAGGACAGTACATGATAGACTGAGAACCACTTCTCAATGTCAGCAGAGTTCAATTCTCTTCTGCAATTATTGAGGCACCTTTACTTCTGCTGTTCAGACTTATTAGTTCAAACTGACACTAATACATATATGTATTCCAATGACATGTACTCTTTCACATACTTTTCAGTCACCTGAAAAACATTAATTACAATGTTGAAAACTGTCAAGCTTGCCTAACATTGGATTTCTAATTGCCATTATTCCTTGTTACTAGTGAACCTTTGAAAGGGTTGATGGCAAAATAAATCTCTGAAATTTTGCATCTTATACCACTGCTTTAAGGTGCCACCAGACTCTTTGTTGTTATTTTCAGATTGTCCTGACTTTAGAATTTGTTTGATTTGTACTAGGGTGGATTTGATTTAAATAAAATCTATTAAAATCACAATTTAAATGACCATTTAAATCACTAGTCAGTAAGACTTGATTTAAATCATGGTTTTGCACACATGCCTGCCTTACCCATAAGTAGAGGAACTTCATTAAAATATTCCTAAACTAGGTCTCTTTTATGACTAGCTGCCAATAAGTTTTCTAGGTAAACTTATTATAGGAATATGATATACCTCAGGCTATCCACAAAAAGATCCGGAAACTTGTGCAGTATGAAACTCAAAAGGATTCACTTTCATTTTTACTGCTTGCCCCTCCCTCTTCATACTTAGTGTCTTGTGCTGCTCTATTCCACTCACAACAATCTTCTATTTACTGAATTTTTCTGAAACTTAGTACTTAAGAGGTAAGGGGTTGATTCTGTGTACAAAGTTTTGCAAAGGAACAGTGGGATTAAGGTCTTTTTCTCAACTCTATATGTTTATTTTATAACATTTTTGCTGTGAAGAAGAGGCATGTGATTTTGCACAAATTCAGTTTTGAGAACTGTTAAAACCAAGCATCTGTGATAAAAATTTCTAGATAGAAAAATTGTCAAATAATCCTGGAGAAACCTCTGGAAGAAAATGACATTGTGAACAAATTAATAGGATTCATTTACCAAAACATTTAAGGATTGCATGAATATACAGCCTCATGCTAAAATTTAAAAACTAATCCTTATTTCATTATGAACTCACCTTTGGACTATAATGCATCTTAAACAGAAAAATATAGGTAGATTCTTTTGTCAAAAAGCATTTTAAATTTAAATGCATCCTATTTAAATTTTAAAAATCCAGGATTTTTGGATTTTTTTAAAAAAATGATGATTTTTATATCCACTCTGATTTGTACCTCGCTTTTCCATTACAGCTTCCAAGATGATTTGTCCCACCCTAAACAATGAAACCACCACCATTAACTACACTGCTTTGCCCATAATGGAATATCAAATCATTATCACCATAAAAACACTGCTAACTCAGAATTCCAGGTTATGGGTGATACTCCCTGACAATGGTATTGTTCTACACGGAGAATGAATTTTGTAACAAATTATACATTATGCAAATTGGGCAGGTTTATCTGAATTCTTTTATCTCACTCCAGTTCTTCTAATTTTGCTTGCCATGTAAAGGAGCAAGACAGGTGCTGAATTTCAGTTGTTTTGAGCACTGGAAATCTTATTCAGCTGCCTTCTGAGATTTCAGCATGCAACATCTGCAATTTTTTGTGCTGGTCTGATGTGATAGGAAACCACTATTTTTAAAAATTCTCAGGAAGGTGAATTCTTCACCTACCACTATATTCTGCTGTAGACCCACAGCACACATATATAAACTTGCCCTTCACTATCCCTGCATTCTCATGATGTTCTCCCCAACAGATAATTGTTCACAAAGAACAACTCTTTGTAGCTGGCCCTTCACAAGGTCTCCTTTATACACCCTCCCATTTCCTAACTCCCAGACCATAGCACATTGAAACAGAACTCCACTGAATAAATTATTCTGAAAATTGGGGCGGGGGGTGAGAATCTGTATGTTCACAATGCTGTAAAGCTGACAATTATTATCCTCATGTTAAAATGGGGCTTGATGCACCAATGACAATGATTTCTCAAGGTTGGATCTGACAATCTATGTGAGTATTAACCATATCAACAGCACTTGCCCCATTGGTTGATTCCTACATCCAAACACGTCCAAAATGGCAGAGTATGTAACCAAAGGGAAATGGCAATCACATCACAGAAGTAATGTGAGATCAGACCACAATGATTTACCCTAGGTCAGTCTGCTCATGGCTGAAACATGAACTGCCTATCTTAAGCAATAAGCAGTATCAGCTATGCAAACAAGGGTGCCGTCCACCCAATGCCCATAAATTTGTGCATGTCACTACCACAGGACTATGCTGCATTTGCAACAGATCCAGCAAGCTAGTATAGATGGGTTATTTTCTAGTTTGCAGTAACCCTACAATCTGATATGCTCTAAAAACTGAACAATGTTGTACATGGTGAGAAGAGAGCCCTAAGCACAGCTGTTAGAACCAACTGCAAGGATCCCTAGGCTGCATTCAAATTAAATAGCACATCAACCATCTAAAACTAGATTAAAATTCATTTCTGATTAATTAGGGGAATCATTAGAAGACAAAGGGTGACTCATCTCTGTAAATATTGACCCCAATTGTTGCTAGTGTTATCTTGTAAGCCACCCAATCCTTTAACTGGTAGAGTATAAATCTGAAAATCAAGATTTTGTGGACTTGAGGAAGAGAAAGTCACCCAAAAGTAGGGTGCCCAGAAACTCTCTTCAGAAACATGAAGGATATTAGGAGGATAAGTACTCGGAGGAGGGCTTTCTCTGCGGTGGCACCCAATCTATGGAATACGCTCCCCAGAGAGGTCCGCCTAGTGCCGCCATCATTTGTTTTTTGGCGCCAGGCGAAGACCTTTTTAGTCAAACGTTATTTTAATTGTTAATATTATTTATTTATTTATTGGCCAGGTCGACTCAAATTTTTATATTGTGTTTTTATATTGTGTTTATTTATTATTGTGAGCCGCCCCGAGGCTTCGGCGAATGGGGCGGCACAGAAGCTTTCTAAATAAACAAACAAACTCCCATGGATAGAAAGGCATCAGAGGTTCTGGTTTTACACATGCTAACTGAAAAGTAAGCAAGCACTAAACACAGATCTAGTTCTAGATTTTATATCCCTACCAAATCTTTAGAACTGCGTAACTGATAGCAGCTATCTAATACTGGAATTGGTTCCTGTAACAAAATTTGTAATGAAAGAACTACCTCTATGAGAGCCTATGCACAAGTAAAGGCCTAGTTGTCTCTGAAATGGAATATCTGTTACCATTGCAAGTGGGAACTGATATGATCAAATCACAGGAATAAATTAGTACTGTACCTATAGAAGACCAGCATGTCAATGAAAATGGTAAAGACCCCTTTCTGTGATCCCAAGTTTTACATCAGGAAGCATTCAGTCATGAAACCCTCCATAAATAATATAAAGTGATGCAGCTGGGCAGATTGGCCACAATGAAAATTAGGCCATAGATACGTTTTGCTGGGTACTCATGATATATGTATCTCTGACTTGGAGGAAAGAAGAAAGTGTTATGTCTACCCCATATTATGATTCACTATAGAAGATTTTTTTATGAGTACTTCTGTGACTGAAAACAAGATGCTTTTTCCCCATCAGTGTCCATAGAATGGGGATATTCTACTCTGTATATCCTTTAGCATATGATGTGATATACATTATGAAAGATCTCAGGGTTGAGAGGAGTTTGAACAATTCCCCCCATTATTCCAAGAACATTTACATCTTACATTACTCCATTTCCAAAATAAGCACCAGCCCTCTCAAGCCACACATACACGCAAAGGCAAAGATTTTCCATGACCTTAATATTTAGCTTCAATAATACTTTGGACTGTTCTGTGAGTCCTCTAAAGTTGTCAATACAACCGTTCTCATATTGTGGTGTTAACACAAAAATATACTTGCTTGCCTGAAATCACACCATAAGCTCTCACATCTGTTAAGGTTGCAGTCTTATCTCAGTGGCTTCCAGTCATCCAGTGCAGAGCAGGAGAAACAGCACAGACATTTTCCACCATGTAGGACTTTCCCCCACTAGCTGATTTATCTCTGGGGAGAGGAAGAGACTGGAGTAGTGTCAGGATAAATCATATCCTGCCCTCTCCACTTGCAAAAAACGTACCCTTCTACTACTCTCGGAGATTGCATTCCTAACTTCAGAGGGATGAAATCCAATGATCTCTTCTGCAACATGTTTTTGCATTAATCGAGTTTTGACTGCAACAAAAAACAACAAAGGCTTTCCTGGTACCTGATAACACAATTATCAGGATGAGAATCTACAGCCCTCCAAAACATTTGTTGGACTCTAACTCCACTCACTGACCATCTGGGGATGCTGAGAGTTGCAGTACAAGTGATGTAGAGGACTTCAGGCTAAAGTAGTTGATTTATTCATTTTATGAACATTTAAACCACCAAATACAGGGACTGAAATGCTAAATCCTTTTATCCAGAAAGATATATTTATTTATTTATATTGTGATTTATATCCTGCCTTTTTCCTACAAAGGGCTCCAGGCAGCTTACATCTCCTACTCCATCTTATCCCCACAACAACCCTGTGAGGTAGGTTGGGCTGAGAGTCTGTGACTGCCCCAAAGTCACCTAGTTGGCTCCATGGCTGAGCGGGGACTAGAACCCAGATCCTCTGAGTCCCAGTCCCATGCTCTTAACCACTACACCACACCAAGAATAGCAAGAATAAAGTATATAGAAATGTGAGGGTGAAGATAAAGATAGCCTGTATGACTCCAGAAGTAATAAACTATAACCTGCAACTATTAACATTGCTATTGAAACAGGACTGATTAAATTAGCTGGCTCTTCCTCTGGTTTGACTCACCAGATCCAGAACAGAAGCATTTCTCTTGGAAAAATTCTGCCACCCAGTCCTGAAACTTGGCAATGGAGATTCACAGCCAAGTCTAGTTCAGCTGGAAGCCTCCATGCTGTTTTTAAAGGCCAGGAGAGTGTTATGCCAGAGCTTGGGGTTAGGACAGGAGGAACAGAACAAACGGGTGACTAACTGCTTTGGATGTGCACTGAGAGGATATTTAAAGCTAAGCAAGTTACACCCATAACTGAAGCTCTAAACAACCTTCTCTGACACACATCAGAAAGAAAGTGGGTTCATATGCTTGGCTAAGATGTACAGTGAGTACTTTCTTAGAAGGATTTTAAGGCAAGGAATTAACTGACCAAATTAAACTCCAGATCAGTCCTCCAGAGATTTCTGGTAGTTACAGAATCCTCCACTGCAGTTAAAAATGCCAGACTTCCTAGCCACTATAGCTGAGAGAACCACTTAGGAAAGAGATAACCACAACAAAAAACCTCTCCCTTGGTTCGGGACTCAAACGGAGAGCAGAAGATTTAACTGACAAACTCGAGAAAGTAACTTGTTCTATGGAACAAGTTATTCTCAACTAAAGCATGTTTAGGGCCAATGTTCTCAAATGACTCAGCAAGCTGGAAAACAATTTTACTGTGATTTAAGTAAAGAATGGGGGGAGGGTGAGATAATCAAGAAAAACTTCCATCTCCTAGACCAGGGGTCAGCAACCTGCGGTTCCGGAGCCACACGTGGTTCTTGAACCCCTCTGCTGTGGCTCCGTCGCTCAAAACATGTGCCGGCATAGCCGCTGATCTGCTCGAAGCTCCACTAAGGAACACAGCACTAGCTAGTTAAGTAAATCAGCTAGTTAAGTAAATCGCTACATTCCTCTTCTAAACAAGCTTCCTGCAGGCTCTCATGTTACACGAAACCAAAAGATTCTCTTTGTCCCAATGTAATCTCCACCTGAATGTTAAAAGCTGTGCTTGGGACCTGTCACAATTCACATCACTTGACTGTTTATCTGCTAATCAGTCACTAAACACACCTATATCTGGGGACCGGTGCCAATTTACTGAGCTTCCCCCCCTCCAACCATGGATAAATCGAAGAAAAGTTTCTGAAGAAAACCGAATGTTTCATGGTCCGTGGGTAGATTCATTTGCTTTTACTGCTGACAAACTTATGGGGTCTGCTGTTTAATGCATGCAGCCCTTTAGCACTGACTTTGACTCTGCAGGAAGCTGTTCTCCTATTCAAAATAGATGAAAGGAATCCTACTGGTTTATAATGTAAAATTAAAAATAAGTTTTTAGTGACTGAACAAGAGCTGCAGCTAAATCATAATGAAGATATAGATCTACTTCTTTAAGATTCTTATAAAAATTTCAGCACCATTATTACATTGGGAGAGGGATGTTTGTTCAATATTTCACCACGTGATAAAAGGATGAGGGCACACAGAAGCAGATGGCATTTTTGGTTTGCTGCAGGTGGCATGTTTGGTTTGCTGCTAGTGGATAACGTAAGTTCGGCTTTTTATTTCATAAATACGAGGACTCAGATAGACATTGAGTATTTTATTTGAAAGTAACTTTCAACCCAGCGTCTTTTTTTTCAAAGTTTAAAATGTTTTTGTTGCACGCAGAAATAAAAATTTGTTTTCTCTGTAGCAGTTCATTGATTTCTTAAATGCAACACACTACAGTTTTTTTATACATAGCATAAAGGTAAAAAACTATATATGCAGTGTTATCTTCCTTTTAGATGTCAAAAGGGTTTTGCGGCTCCCAATGTTTTCTTTTCTGTGGGAAATGGGTTGGGTCCAACAGCTCTTTGAGTTGCCGACCCCTGTCATAGACAAAGGTAGCACTCAAAGTCTAGTACAGGCTGACTGTACTTCCCCCCAACATATTCCAATCTGGACAATAAGCATTCAAGTTAGTTGGCCCTTGCTCCAATGCAATGGAGTCACATATAGATGATCCTTCATTTCTCCTTTCCCCAAACTGTAAGGCAGGTCAACATCACCTGAGAGGGATAAGAAAGCACTTGAACAGCCTTATGCAACCTGCTACCCTCCACATGTGTGGATTACTGCATCAGAATGGCAACATTTTGCTTCCTCATAGAAAATAGAGAAATCCAGGAATTGGATCATGACAGGGATCTGACAGTATTATCTTATACATACTTCCTGCACTAGGAGAAAGAATAATAAACTCTCTGATATAATTGCCTCCATACTGCAGATGATCAGGAGCTGAAGCCAAAAAAGATTAACTTATATTGACAATGTAGCCTAGCATTATTGTTATACAGGGGAAGAAGGTTGCTACATTTTTTTGATAACTCTTATGATATGAAGGTTCAGGAAAAAGAAAAAAGAAAATGTGTAGAAATGTTTTTCTAAATCTATTTTGCACCCATTCCCTCTTATGAACTCTTATGTAATATTTTCTCCTCCAATAGTATTAAAACTTTAAATAATGCTGTTAATATTACACAGTTGTCACAGAATGCCTATATCCATAAGAATAAACACATGACTATATTTGGACCAAGCAATACCCTTTGGACTAAACTGGAACCCTGTCATGCATGGTGCTCCTGAAACATGGTGGCAAGACCTTTGGTTTACTTCATCTTTTATACCAAGTGAATCATTCTGAAACATATCTGTAAATACACACAAGCAAGTAATACACTAGCATATTAAAGACTTGCAAGTGTTACTTTATGCAAACTTTCAATTTTCCAATGTCCTTGAAGCTCAAAGCAAGACTTTAGAAAAATCACAGATCTTTAGACCCTCTTTATTCTACTGAAGGTCTGTAAGTGACATGAAATTAACTACATTTCCTCCTCAGTTACTGTGCCATTTGCAGCCTGTTCCTGCTATTCTGCAAAAAGTCCCACTAAGTTCAATGAGGTTCATTCCCAACTGAGAATAGTTATGACTGCATCTTTACTGGGTATAATATTCAAATGTAACGCTGTTTCTGATTGCATTATGCTTGTTTGTCCAAGTACTCTGCAAAACAGTGTTTTCAACTTCTGAATGATAATGTTTAGTTAAATAGTAAAAAATCCTTTATTTACCACACTGTTAAGAGAGTAATTTTTATTTTCCAACTAGTAAAAACTTTTGGGTGTGGCTGCTAAAGCTTCATCTCTAAAACTGAGAATACTTGTAACTAGTGTTTGTAGTTACAAGAACAACAGACTTATGTACTCCATAAATATACTTACAGGCATGGTTTTAGGTACTAAACTATAATTGATATATTTGATATACATAACACAATCATATTTAGACTTGATATGAAAGTGCGGCAAATCACCCCCATTTCCTCCTGAAGGAAAGAAGGTAGACTGTTTTCAATGATTTCAGTTTTCCTCAGACTTTTCACATCAGTAAGTCTATCCTGTAATGCTGGCTGTTATTGAGTGGGATTTATATAATGCCTTGTAGCCTAGACTTAATAGTTCTGTATTGAGCACCTTGGTGTGGAAGCTACAGCCTTCTACTCCAATCTTTATCGAGGCAAGTCTCTACTACAATACTACACAGAACACACCTGTTATAATCAAAAGACAAGAAATCAGCTATGCAGAATACACAGATATTTCATATGAACAAGCACCAGTGTGTATAAATCACCTGAAACCACCACCATTTCATGCTGAGAACAAACAATACAACAAAAGACAGCCCAGAGAGAGCATGCCGCACACACAGTGCAAAGTATAAACACACTTGTGGACTCCACCACTTGCCATCATCCCTCAACCCCTGCCCAAAATTAGCGCTTAGAACAATGCAGATGCGCCTTATGCTTTCACGACTTCTAACCGTGTAAAATGGAGAGTCGCAAATCGAACAGGAAACCAAGGGGCGCGTTACTAGGACCTTTTCATGTGCCACCCCCATCTCAAGCTACAGAACTTCGCTGCGCACGCGTGAGGAAGTGCTTACTTCCACACCCCACCTTCATAACGAAACCCCTTTTCCACCCAATCAAAACCGTTTCGCCCCACCACCTCGCCAGGGTGCGCGCGACCCGACCCTGCAGCCAACCGTCTTCTTAAGGCGCGCATGCGTCCATGGTACCTTCTCGACTCCTCCTCGAACCCCCGCAGCCAACTTTTCACCAACAGTCTATTTTTAAAAAAAAGAAAGCTAAACACCGTCAACTTTCAGCCAGAATGGACCCAGCTCTGCTTTAATGAGAAAGATATTTACTGCCTAGCCAGCCACAGTAGAAATGTACAGCTTACCGGGTTAGTTCTGTCGGCTGCTTCCACTGCCGGCTCCGCCCGGCTCACTCGCCGCCGCCCGGACTCTCTACAGCTGCCCTATACAAATCCCACCCACCTTGTGATTGACAAAAGTCACCACCCTATTGTATAATTCTATGCAAACATCTCCGACCGTCACCACCCTATAAGAAAGAGCTAAGACCTCCCTGCAGTGAGATTGACGATAGATTGTAACCAATGGAAAATAAGTGTTCTCCGCCACCTCGAGTTTGGTCGTGTCATCGGGCGCTGTCTGATTCCGGAATGATAGACCAACGGCCACCTACTCACAGAAAGTCTGATAGGCAACCGAAGATGGCCAATCACACTTGTGTTAGGTAAACTTCTGTCGAATTGCAGACGGAAGGCGGGACTTCTCCTTCATAATTTTTTGCAGCAACTGGCAGCCTGTGTTAGCCAATTAGAATACGCTATGAACGAAGGCGCCCTTGTGATTTCCCATCAAAGGCGGGGCTAGAACAATTGAAGTCGACGCCCATTCAGTGACATACGTCCTGTGGTAACCAATGGCGACTTCGCCACCAAGACCCTTCCTGCCTTTTTTTTTGGCCAAATTGTATTGCCAACGCAAGCCCCGCCCATTCCCTCTACCTACCGGAGTGCTTCCTGTTCAATTGTTGCACAGTGAGGGAGGAAACTAAAGTTGCCTCCTGGGCAGCCATCTTGGGAATTTCTCACTCGCGCCACCCAGAGGCTGCAGTGGAAATGGAAGCTCAGTGGGAAACTGTATTGTTCTTTCTGCACCCGACTTCAGATCATTATTCTTACGAGGCTTTGCATGTAAACCAAGGTTGGCACCTTTGGTAAAAGCAATTTCAGCAGCTGCTGCGTTATACCTTAAGGCTTTTGTCTCGGAACCAGAGCCTGTGCCCACTTCAGTGAAAACTTCCAATAGATAAGGCGCGCTTGGTTTCTGGGTGAAATATTGGAGACGCACTTTCTGTCTGGGCAGGAAAAAATGTGCTTTTGAGAAAGAACAATCGTCATTTGTCAATCGAAGGCGAGCCTCAGTAGTACTCCTGTCTTACTACGGGTAGACAGCATAATTCCTCCAAATGCCTTGGACTACAGGTTCCATCATCCCCACCACTGGGGGCCCAAGCATTTGAAAAGTATTAGGTTGCCTGTCCTTGATTTACACTATTTTTCAGACAAGGGACTTTTTCAGCTGTGTGTGGAGTTGGCAGGAATTGAATGTGAAACATACCTTGCACCATTGAGTTATTTCTCCTCTGCATTTTAAGCAGAGAAAAGATGAGCATAACTTAAACTGCCTTAAAGCATGAAAAGCAGTACTGGTCCTTGCTATTGTCATCCTAAAAGCCATATACACTTTGCCTTGGAAGTTAAAGATAGCAGTTCAGTTTCAGATCAGAAGACTATGATAGCATACAATTAATATTCCGTTTTCATTTTGACCATGTTTCCTGCAACTAAGGTAGCAAGCTCAGAAAAGTATTTGAAAAAGCAGACTACTCTACAGAGTCTGTGGGCCAGCAACAGTGGCATAACCAGTCATAGGTAGCCCTTGTAGAGAAAAGACACTCACCCAGCCCCAAGCTGAAGCAAGTGTGTGAAGAGGAAAACCTAAAGCACTAGGCACATCTCTTTGCAGGAGAGCATGTTAAAATTGCGGTTCATTTGATTTTTTTTTTTTCACGCAATTTACAGGCAGGGAAATCAAAAAGGTTGTCTAGAGATGACTGTTGTAAATACACAGTAAGCTTTGGCTCCCTCATTTATCTAATGGTCAAAGGCTATTGATAGGAAGCTTACCTTGGGTTTCTTCTTAGCAATACTCATTTCAGACAGAGCTAGAACAGACCAAGACTTGAAAATACTTGAGATTGAAACTGGAATTTTGTTATTGTAGCATTTAAGCTATAATAATGATGGGACTATTTTGTCTCCCATCAGCCGTCTCCCATCAGCCCTAGCCAATGGGTAGGGATGAAATGAGTTGTATAGTTCAGCAACCCGGGGGGGGGGGCACTTCATATTACTCCACCAGATGTTCCTGGACTATTCTTAGTGTGTCCAATTGGAGAGAAAGCATTGCTAAAATCCTGTGACATTACAGAGAAATTTAGGGTTCACAGTATTACTGACTGTACTGGGCCGTAGGGACAGATCAGGGATGCAGTTGGTGTCCTGCCCACCTGCTGTCCAGGATCCTCCCTGCCTGAGCTGGTGGAGATGGCATCAAGCATGATATTGGAGGAAATCAGGGCCATGGTTCTGGTGGACATTTTTTTACAGAGGCTGCATCTGGAATCCCAGCTGGCATGGCCTCCATGACAAGGACAGCTCCAGTACATAAAGAAGAGCATATCCTTCATTTGATTATTGCTTCAAGCTGTGTGATTTCATGACCTAAGGTTTCTTGTGATATTTGAACTTGGCTACTTGCTTTCTACACCTGAGTGGAGGACATACAACAGTACACTCTTTGGTCAGTGAAACAGTGGATGGCAGCTAAAGCAGAAATTGTCTCTCATTGACCTTCCAATACCCTCAGCCAAGACATTCCCCTGGATCAACTCTGCAGAACTGGCAATGAAATACCATAGTTCCAGTCTTATCTGCACTGTCAATTCCAAAAATATTGGGTGCCTGTTCTTCAGTCACTTGGCAGCTGAACTGTACAATTCCACATGGTAGAGTCTTGTTCCCAGTGTTGTTTAATATCACTATCCCATCCCGCTCTCCTCCTGAGGCTCAGGAAGAAAGGGCTGGGCTGGTGGCCTTGGAAGAACTCCCCCCAGCATGCTCTATGCCGCTCTAGCAGACAAGTGCAAAGAGTGAGGGTTTGCACTTGCCAGCAGGAGTGGGGCATGCTGGGGAGAATTAATTGGTTCAGGTACAAGAGGCTCAGCATGCCAATTCCAGAAGGGAAGGAGGGGCTGGGGGGGTCATCACACGGAAGGGTATCTGGGCAGGAGAAACAGGGAAGGGATAGGCCACTGCAGAGGGTCATTGTCCTTAGGCTGTGGTCAGAGGAGGGGCTGCCTGTGATCTCTGCCAGGATAACAGGCCCAGAAAACATTATTTTTCATTCAATTAAACCTTTCAATCTTAAAATGTTCACTCATATAATGGTTAACCATTTTAATTGTGTATATTAAAGTATATGGCAAATGCTTTAATTTACGATATGTAAATACTATTCATCATGTGGCCCCCAGGTTCCATGCTGAAGTCCTCATGCAGTCCCTCAAGGTACAAGATGTTGGACTGCCCTGGGCCAGATTATAGCCAATGAACTGAAGCTAAACCGACAGAACAGAAGCCCCCTTTCAGCATGCAATTCCTTTGCTGAAGGAACTACACCTGTTTGCTACCAGGTCAAGTTTAAAATGTCAGTATCAGCATATAAAGTCCCAAACAACTTGGGACCAGAATACCTTAAGAGTGCTGCTTCACTCATATCAATGTGCCTGATCACTGGGGGCAGCAAAGGGCATGCTTCTAGTGGTTCTGTACAGGTATGACCTGACTGTATATCCAGAGAGAAGTCTTCAAAGTAGTTGCTCCCTTTCTCAGCAAATCCCCACCTCTGGAAGTCAGGCAGGCAGCAAAACTGTGTTTAGTGCCTCCTGAAAACTTTATTTCAGGAAGCTTTCTTTAAACAGCAATGGCTTTTATTTTTGTCAGTTTTTTCTTTTTATTGTTCACCACCACTTTGGAATTTGTTTAGATGTGGAACTGTATAAGTATGTAAATAATATAAACTTTAGAAAAATAGATTCCAGTCTGTTTGTGTCCAATTTCAAAAAGACTTGAATATGTGAAAGAATCCTTAAAACTATAGAAAACATATCTGAGCCTAAGACAAGCTCAGCTGTGAAAAATGGACACTGAGCAGGCCACACCAGTAGCTTCAGCAGAGCCACCACATGGTCTGGTGGGGGTCATCATGATCTCTGCTACTGAGTATCGTCAGTCAACTTCAGTTTGAGGTGAGACTCTGTCCCAGCCCTTCAAAGGGAACATGGCTGTACAGCTTCTTCCTTGTTTAAACCCTGACTGGGGAAGCCTACTAGCAACAGAAAATGGAAGAAGAAAGGAATCCTGTGGGAGAAGAAAGGCTCGTTTTTCTGACTTAACTTCACTATAGTTAACAAGGTAATCTACAATATGTGCCAGCCATTTATTAATGGTTTCATAATTTCCTTAAAACTAGAAATCCATGGAATCATGGATGCAATACCTATTGGAGACAATTACAGATATAGCTGCTATTCAATTTCCTTTGCTAAGGATGACTGCATTTTCCTGATTGTATGGGGAGCTCAAGGACAGAAAGTGTAGCCTCCATCATACTACTCCAGAAATCATATGGCTAAGCAAACAGTAAGACACAAGCTTTCCCAGTCATACAGTAGGGTGGGCTAAGTCAATGGCACTATAGTCAAAATCTGGCTGTAAAAGAAAAACCAGCTACTTCCAGAATGCACTGAGAAGTCATGGGACTACAAGCCAACATAAAACGAGTGCTTAACTAAGACATTCCTAAGCAGCTGCCTAAGAACTCCAGGCATTTGAACTCTGAACAGGGTTTCCAATCACACACAAGGCAGTACTGCATGCTCCTCCAGTTCCTCGACAATAAAGGACAACTGGCTTTTGCAAACATTTATTGACTCATTTAATTCTCTTACCAGTTCTGACCTACGTTCTCCACCCACTCGCATCCTCTCCCCCCTAAAGCCAGCCAGGGCAAGGCCTCCAGGTGCTGAGAAGACAAGGGAGCACTTCCTGTTACAAGCCCCCACCCCAGAACAGGATGGAAGAGGGGGCAGACTCCCCCACCAGTGAGTGATGGAGGGGGAGGGGAAGAGGTGGTGCAGAGTCAAAACACAACACGACTAACATTAACAGGATAGGACAGGATGGGAGGTGGGAGTTAAGGCGCCTCAATAACATGACATAACTGCAAGGGCAAAGGATAGGAAGGAGAGGCCACAGGGATGGAGGATTTTCCACAGGCCCTAATGGACGCAAAAACTGGAAAAAAAATCCTAAAAGGGTACAAAAGTTATTTCATGTTTTGAGTCACTTTAACCGTGACGGGTGAGGGAGGGAGGCGGACCCTCCCCCGCACTAACAGTCCGTGGCAGGCAGGTGGGCAGTACTAGCAAGAAGACTGCTAGCGGATGGTGTAGCGTACGTAGGGCACCTCCGTGTCATCCCCAC